CTAAAAATAAAATATGACTAAACCTAACCTAAACCTCTTGCGCTATCTATGGGAAAACAATGATGAACAAATATAACACTAGAACTACCAGGATTGGTCAAAACGACCAATTTATAACTTTTTAAAAATATTTTATATATATATATTATCATAAAACTGCGTATTTTTTGAAGATTTGAATAACTTCTCGTTACAAAATATACAAGTAAAAGTATAGTCCACAATATTGTATATTATATATCATGTATTAAATTATATTATATATTAAACATTGTATAATATAAAGTTTCTCTATTTTTTCGACTTTAGATGTGTCTGAAATGGAAATTTCACGTTTTCGATCGTCGGTAATTCTAGTGATAACAATGTCGTCGGTCAGTATCACTGTCGTCGGCTAAAAACTGTTTGTCGGGCAAATCCGTAGTCGATGAAATATTGTCGGGGAATTCTGCGTCGATGATTTCAATGTTCCCGGCTCGCCGAGACGGAATTCTTTCGAACGAGCCCGTGCATTCGACCGGATGGAACGCGATGGCGTCGTAATCGGCGTAATAAGTAGTAGCAATAATGATGATAGTAACGCTCGCAGCGTAGCAATAATGATACATAGCGTTATCGCTATATTCGGTTAACGATTGTTCCCAGCGATAAGCCAGTGCCTTACTGCTCGACGTCTTCCAATCCTCCCCGTGCGTACTTTCGTAAACTCGATCCCCTTATTTTTAGTTCACCGGAAGGCGACCCGAGCCCTCGTCCTCACGGTCGTGGCAATCGATCGATAAATAGCGCGATCGTTACATCGACGAATCTCAAATCACTCTGTCTGTGTGTGTCCGTGCGTGTACTGTAGATAACTTCACTCTCTCGAGCGGTTTTAACTTTTGTTACGAAGTTAGTTTAATTTTTATTATTAGCGAAATCGTAGGTCGTTCTGTTCGATCGAATTTATCATTCCGTTTCAAAAAGACGAAAGTTTCTTTTTTTTTTTTTTCTTTGCGACTTGTTGAAGACTAAATGTTTGTTAAGCGTTACAGGCGAAAGATCGTCGGGCTTGCGTAGTAAAAGTTACGACCCGTGGTTGCAGCCACTATTTTATATATATATATACATATTTTTTTTTTTTTTCCTTTTTCTCGTCGACTTTCGTGGAATTCTGTTTCGTTTCGAGACTCGAGACAAAGAAACGAAGAAAATGACAGATGCGTTTTCGTTTCTTCTCCGACAATTAGCAACCACGGCCCCATGGTGTTTGCTGTGGAACAGCTGCTAATAATATCGTAGAGAGCAAACATTTCGGATGCCGAGAGATGCGAGAGCGGCACGGCGGAACTTTTACAAGCGGCCCGATATTTGCTCAGCGTCCGAAGGTGTTGGAAACGAGAGAGAGAGAGAGAGAGAGAGATAGAGAGAAAGAGAGGTCGAAAGAGCTCGTCGAAAACATCTTTCGGGCCGCTGACTCCTCCAAGTATTTCCTCGACTTTCGCGATTATTGGCGATCGTGTTGCGCAACGAGAACGGTTGAATGACACTCGGCCGCGTGTTTTTTTTTTTTTTTTTTTTTCGTAGGCAGAAAAAAATTTGCCAGAACACGAGAAATGTTGCAACGCGAGAAACGTTTGCAACTTTGCGCGCGCGTCGGGCCGTGTTTCTTTTTTTCTCTTTTTCTTTTTTCTTTTTTCTTTTTTTTTCTTTTTTTTTTTGCTGCGCGGCTTTCGAAACAGAAAGTTACGCGTGCGTTTAAGAAACTCGAATGTTTCTTTCTTTCTTCTTTTTTTTCTCACAGAGAAGTGGTTTCTTTCTATCCGCGGCGAGCATTCTCCTTCGTAATTAGGCGAACTTTTGGAGAAACACTCGAACCTCTCGAACGTTTGTCGCGCAGGCTACGATATAATATCAATTATCAATTGTCGTACACGCGACACGTCGTTTCGCTTCAATTGCAACGGAGATGACGTTGAATCGATCTCGGCCGATTATTATTATTATTAAATTTTTTTTTGTAATCTTATCCTATCGAATCCCCTTGTGTATATTATACAATACTCTTGACTCGAGATTTCAGCGAACCCCAAAATCGGCCCGTTTATATACAGGGTGTTTCGTAACTTGTGAAACCCACTTCCGCCTAAAAATAATGAAAAAAAGTCATATAAATATGTGTCCTGTCTGTTTTCGTTTATGAGATACAATGGGTTTTCTGTTTTAATTACTTTTACAAAAAATGCTCGAAATGACCAGCTTGCATTTGAAGACAAGCCTGCACGCGTCTTGTCATTCATCTGGTTACTCTCTCTATCGTTCNGTGGGTTTTCTTCATCCCAATTATGATTATTATGAAAATTGAATATACCATCCCTGGTAAATCTAGCTTACTAGAGTTTGCTCTGTTTATAAAATTCTCATCAACGAAGACAGATAGGACATATATTTATCTGACATTTTTTTTCATTATTTTTAGGCGTACAATCAGCTCCGGAAGTGGGTCCCACAAGTTACGAAACACCCTGTATGTATTCTTATTATAGTGAGTCTTTTATTAGGGTGAGTCTCTTAACGTGACGATATCGAATAACTCATAAAATATTTGTTGTACGAAAAAATGTTTCAGACAGAAGTTGCAATTTTATGTTATTTTTTGCTATTTTATCAAGGTATGAAGGTCACTTTCAATTTATTAAATGGAATAGTTAATATTTCTTCCCGAACTCGGACAAAGTTCGTTGAATTCTACAAAAAAAAAAACGTTTATGTTATTTATGTTATTTTGCTCTTTTTATCAAGATATGAAGGTCACCTGCAGTTTCTTAAATGGAATAGTTGATATTTCTTTCCGAATTCCGGGTAAAGCGTTGAATTCTACATAAGAAAAGTATTACGCCAAGTAGGGTCTAAAATACATAATTACTGAGATTAACGGTCTTTTCTAAGACAATGTAAAAAAATTATATTTTTGCCAATATCTCAGCAACTATGTATTTTAGACCCTATTTGGTGCAATACTTTTTTATGTAGAATTCAACGCTTCCCGAATTCGGGAAGAAATATTGACCTATTCCGCTTAAAAAAAATTGAAGGAACCTTCACACCTTGATTAGAAAGCAAAATAACATAACCGATTGCAGTATGCACTTATATATGTCCACCTGGAAGCCATGCAACTTCTATCTGAAACATGTTTTTCGTACAACAAATATATCATCAGTTATTCCATGTCGTCGCGTTACGAGACTCACCCTCGTATATATTTGTAGTTTATCCCCGATAAAGTCGAAAGATGAACGCTACCTCGCCACGACGATTATTGTTTCGTTTTCTATTTTGTTTCTACGTTCGGCGCGCGCAATGCCGATTTAGCTTTATTTAGGTTAATTGTTTTTCAGCGGCGTGAACTGGTGTACAGTTTACATGTTTCACGACGAGCCTGAGGGATTCCAGGAGTTCGTCTGAAGAAAGAGAGACTCGATATAAAATTTTAAAAAAAAAAAAAAAAGAAAAGAAAAGAAAAAAAAGAAAAAAAAAGACAAACCTGACGACTCGCGCGGTCTCGATCGTGCGCGCGTGCTCGGTACACGCGCACGCGCCCGTTTCTTTCCAATTAATTGTATTAATCGTCAAATTGGAGGATGCTCAATTAAACCCAATAAGTTAACTATTAAATAATCGTTGCGAATTGAGGCCAGCCATTCGTGGCGTGGCCGCGCGTACTCGAGTCGGTTGCGGTGCGCTCACGCGCGCTTCGAGAGGCGAAAACAAAAAAAAAAGGAAAAAAAAGCCGTTCACGAGCCAGCGATTATTACCGATCAATTAACCATAAGCGAGATATTTTTCATTAACGATCCGAGCTTGTTTCGTTAAGAACTCTTTCCTTCTGCCTTTTGTTTCTGCCTTTCTCTACCTCTGTTTCTTTTCTTTCTTCCATTCTGTCTTTTATCCTATAATGATTGTATGTGGCAACGATAATACAATCGATACGTTAACGTACACGACACGCAGCGTTTATTCCCCCCACGCTCCCGTCATCTCCCCTCCGCAAAACTTGCCTCTCAATACTTTGTTCGCAGGTACGATTCGACCAAGCAGCCGACAAAAGGATACCTAACTACCACGATACTCGCACCTTACCACGCTCGACTTACCTACGTCTGGTTATTTACCCAATTTATAAATATAAGCCGTACGCTTGTACTTATGCATATCGAACATTCGTCGAATTCGAATCGTCGTCGCGTTACCAAGCGACATCCGATTCAATTCGAATCGCGAATCGAAACGACGAGCGTCCGTTTACACGCCGCGCTCGTCGCGTGACGACGGCAAGGTCGACCTCTCGATCGATCGATCGATCGATCAACGATCCTCGTCTTGTAGTTGTCGTTCCAAGTCGTCGAAAGCGGGAGAAAGACAGACGAACGAACGAACGAACGATCGAGAGGTGGATCTCGCTCTCGAACCCTCCGCGATCTTTTTACGCGCCGAGTCTGTCTCTCCTCGCTGAGAACTCACCGGGCCAGCATCCACTAACGCCGTGCTTTTTCTGTTTTTTCTCTTTTCCACGGGGGGCGTAAAAGCAGACAGCTATCAGTATCAGCTGCAGTCGATGTGGCAGAAGTGCTGGAACACCAACCAGAGCCTGGTGCACAACCTGCGCTTTCGCGAGCGGGGCCCGCTCAAGTCCTGGCGACCGGAGACCATGGCCGAGGCGATCTTCAGCGTCCTGAAGGAAGGACTGTCCCTGAGCCAAGCGGCAAGGTAACTAGCTTTATTCACTCGCTACTTTGCACGTTCTCAGATTTTCACGTTTCTCACGGCCATTTTTTCTCGCGTTCTCTCTTTCTCTCTCTCTCTCTCTCTCTCTCTCTCTCTCTCTCTCTCTCTCTCTCTCTCTCTCTCTTTCTCTCTCTCGTCCTCGCGAAAATTAGCGAAACGAAATTTCGCGCCCGTTAACCGGATAAAGAGCGGCGTCGCGTCGCTGCTTAACCAGAGACGGATCGCCCGAATTACGTCCGCGTCAGACGGTTCATTCCATCCCGTTTAAGGAAAGTGCTAAGAAGAATTTCATTATTAGATGGATATTTGCGGCGCGACGGGACAAATTAAACTAAGAAAGTTCATCGGACCGTTTCGACGAAACGCCGAATTTCAAATGGAAACGTGTATCCGATAGACGCGGATAGACCGGATAGAAGGAATCGCAGAGCGAGATCTGTCGCCGCGTCTCACCCGTTTCGTCGATCGACATCGGAGACGACAAGTACATCTCGGTTTGCCCAGGCTTTTTTTTTTTTTTTTCAACGGTACAGCACGAAATGAATTCCTCGCCGTCCGCGCAGTTCGTTTCCCAATCGGAACAATCCGCCGGGAAAGTTTCGAGCCGAGTGATTTAGCCGCGTGATCAACAACAACCTGTGTACGTACACAGAACGTGAATGAGTTAAAACATAGAGAGAGAGAAAGAGAGAGAGAGAGAACAATTGGCTGTCGACTTAAGAGTTAACTTTTACGGCTTATTGTTGCTCGTAAAACGCGTAGCTATCGCACGACGCGCGGTCGTTAAAGGTTGTACGAACGCGTTTCGCCCTCGAAACAAGCCACGGTCGATCTTTCGCGAGAATCGATCGGCCGCGTGTCCCGCAAGAGCGACGCTCCTCTCCTCGCGTGTCGATCTTCTCAGACAATCACCGTGGCATTCTGTTGCAGGAAATACGACATCCCGTACCCGACCTTCGTCTTGTATGCCAATCGAGTGCATAATATGCTGGGTCCGAGTGCCGACGGCGGAGCCGGTGAGTCTCACTGTCAGTTCGATCGTTCTTCTCTTCTCGCTAGTCGTGCCTCCTCGGACGTTGTTGGATCAAGGAGAATAACTTGCGACCAATTTGCAACTAAATAAATAGTCTTTTTTTTTTTGAATATGACAAAAGATACATCTTGTGCTTTCTGTCTTGCGCTGGCGATTGACTCGCGGACCATAACGAGTGACCGAGCCGTACACAATAATTCGTCGCTTTCTTCTCCTTTCGAACTCGACTGAATAGAAATTGTTAAAAAGTAATAAACTTATCGTTTATTGTACTATATCTTATTATTATTATATTATTATTATTATATTATTATATCTTATTATACCATACCTGAGTTACATTTAAATATACTTGAAACTGAGAAAACGTTGCAATTTGGAACAAAAAGTTCTCGACGTGGCACGTCATTCCAGCGCAAGAGGTTAAATAAGTATTCAAAGGAATACTCTTCCTGTTGCAGCCTTCTATCCATATGATTAAGCAATTTCCTGTTTTCGTCAATAAAAGATCTTTCGTACAGGAGGATTTGTTTGAACTTGATGACGCTCCGGCAGAAGCTCCAGCTCTTACTTTACTTTCATTTTTCCCAACTGTGCGAATTCTCGATTCATTTCTGTGAAATTTCTTGCAAAAGAGATGTTAACCTATCACTAGATTTCAACCGATCAAGAATTTCTAATTTTCCTTCCAACGACATAAATCTTCTATTTGGCTTATCTTTTTCGGAGATCGTTGGAGTCATGGCCGGAAAATATTGTTTCTTACTTCTGACATTAAATACAGTGAAAAACAATTGCTTTACCTTATAATCGATCAATATCTACTTTACAATTGAAATGAATTCCTTTTTGAAATGATACAATCAATTCTGCAAATAACTGTTCCATGATACACACTTTAAACAAATCCTCCTTATCGCACAAGAGTTAACGCAAAACTGCGCTTCGAGTCAATTCAAAGACACACATATTTTCATATCAGAAATCAGACTTTTTTCAACAACTTTTTCATCGTATTATACGAGATCTTACTGTATATATATATATTTGTATATATATTACATGCTTCATCAGATAGTCGCGAAAACGAAACACGTTCGAGACAAAGGCACAGTATCTAACAAGGGAACGTATCGAAGTGTGATATCAACTCACTGATTTTGATGAAATTTGGAAAAAAGTATATCGTTTAAACAAATGATATACGCCGTCAAATTTGTCGTTAAAAAATATTAATTTCGTCAGTTTACGCAGAAACTGTATCTTCAGTAATTTTCGAGATATTTGGCAAAATATACACCGGCCCCCGCCCCCAAATTTGAGGTTAATTTTTTGACCATTTTAACATCGATTGCCGATGAAAAGAATACTTTTTCGAAAACTATTTACGCAAAATTTCATCAAAATCGTGTGTTACCTTATAAATGGTAAATCCCATAAATTTACGCAAAAACTGTACCTTCATTAATTTCCGAGATATTCGTCAAAATATGATGTAATCCGGACCCCCAACATTGAGGTTAGTTTAACCGCTTGCGCTGGCGACTGATTGCGGACCATAACGAGTGACCGAACCGTCGCTTTCTTTTTCTTTTGAACTCGTCGGTATGATACATCATACATGGATAAAAATTATTGAAAAGTAATAAATTTACTATTTTTTTTGCCTGGGCTATACTTATATATACTTAAAACGGAGGAAATGTTGCAATTTTGGGACAAGAAATTCTCGACGTGAATGGCACGTCGTTCCAGCGTAAGAGGTTAACATCGACAATTACCAATAAAAAGAATACTTTTTCGAAAACTACATTTACGCAAAATTTCATGAAAATCGTGTGTTCCCTTACAAGTGGTAAATCCCATGAATTTACGCAGAAACAGTACCTTCAGTAATTTCCAAGATATTCGACAAAATATGATATATTTCGAACCCTCGACTTTGAGGTTAGTTTTCACCCCTTTAACCACTTGCGCTGGCAACCGATTGCGGACCATAACGAGTGACCGTATACAGCAATTCGTCGTTTTCTTTTTCTTTTGAACTCGGTGTGATATCGCTGGATAGAAATGATCGAGAAGTAATAAATTTATTACATGCTTTGCCTGGGTTACATTGCAATATACTTAAAACTGAGAAAATGTTACAATTTTGGGACAAGAAATTCTCGACGTGCGTCGTTCCAGCGCAAGAGGTTAACATCGGCAATTACCAATAAAAAGAATACTTTTTCAAAAGCTACAATTTACACGAAATTTCGTGGAAATCACTGAAACGACTGACACTTGCTACGCGTCCCCCGTGAGTGGTAAACTTAGATTGGCTATCGAAACCGATTCATTTCCTTCTGTTGCTGGCTAGATCTTCGTCCAAAGGGCAGAGGCAGACCGCAAAGGATCCTGCTGGGCGTTTGGCCGGACGAGCACATTCGCGGTGTGATCCGGGCGGTGGTGTTCCGCGACGGGCATTCGCCGCATATGGTGAAGGAAGAGCCAACTTCGATGTACCCGAGTTTGGCAAATTACGCGGCGTGCAACGGCCCCGAAGGCGCGGTCAGCCCCGGAGCGGCAGCCGCGGCCGCGGTTGCTGCGGTCGCTCAAGGTAACCTCATACGACGCCCTCTACGTCTTTTTTTCTACGTCGTTTTCTCTCTCTCTCGGTGGCCCGGGCGCGCGCCGAGCCACGCGGAGAAAAGCGACGAGAACGCACGCACTAATATATACATATATATATATATATATATATATATATACATAACTCCGGTATTGTCCCGGACATGTTGGTGTCGTACAGGGCTGCGGCATCAGATGTGCAGCATGGTGGCGGCGGCGCACTCGCAACAGCACGACATGATGGCGACCAACCTGTCGACGAACCTGTCGGCGAACCTGTCGACCAGCCTCTCGTCGAATCTGCAGGCAGCTATGCAGGCCAGCCAGCATCATCACAACAGCAACAACAGCGGGCCGGTGATCGGCAGCAACAACGGTAGCGGCGTCATGGGCGGAAACAGCGGCAACTCGCCGTTGAATCTCGGCCTGGCCAGCCCGGGATCCGGCGGCCCGCCAGAGAGCCCGATGGAGAGCCCGTTGGCGAGTCCGCTCGGCCCTCTCATGGACCCTGGACACATACCAAGCAGCGTGGAGGTCGGCATCGGCGTCAGCGGCATGACGTACAAGCCCGCGCGGAGCTTCGTCAGCCCGCGGCCGGAGAATCTCTTCCAGGAGGACATCGCGGATCTCGTCAAGAGCCCCCACGGGCTCAAGGACAAGGACAAGATACCCGTGAAGCTGGAGCCGCTGACGGACTCGCGTTGCGAATAGTAAGCGGAAGGCGCTCGAAATCGAACGAGCTAATCGTTGGTAGCCCGTTGAATCGACAGAGAGAGAGAGAGAGAGAGAGAGTGAGAGAAAGAGAGAGAGAAAGAGAGATAGGTAGATAGATAGATAGTCGGCGATTCCAACTGGCTTCTCGCAAAAACAAAACGCCGAGTCAGACGAGAATGGCTCGCCATACGGACTGATTCGGACACGCACAGCCGCGGGTGTGATCGATTCGCTCAGCTCGCGACGAAATCTCGTAACATCTCGCGACGAGCTGGCGAATCGAGCATCCCGTGATTCCAATCGACGAACGCTCCGTATTCCGACCGACTCGTCGACCGACCAACCAACCAACCGACAGATCGACCGACCGACCGACCGACCGACCGACCGACCGACTGACTATTCGTCCTCGCGACGATACCAGAGCAGTGTACGCCAGCGTACGGCTCGAGAGTTAGAATCAAAACGGGCAGAAGAAAGGGAAGAATTGAAGATTGAGAGAGAGAGAGAGAGAGAGAGAGAGAGAGAGAAGAAAAAAAAGAAGGAGTGACCGGCGAGCCATCAGAAAGGGCAACGAACAGAGCCACTCGATCGATGCTCGATCCTCGAATCTCATTGTCAAACCAAAACTCCCTCCCGACTCGGGGCATCGATCGCGATCGCTCGGCCGACTCCGACGCAGTCTCGAAGGCCGTCTATTTTAAGGTAAAACGTTCGAAACGTGGTTTGACATTGCTCGACGAGCAGGCTGTCCTCGCAGTTGGACAGTTCTCGTTGGACGAAGGGCAACTCGTCCCGGTTGCGCGGCGAAGCAGACGCGCGCGAGTAGAAACGAGTGGAGATTCGCGCGAGAGAGACACGCCCTTACAGACAGACTCGATAGATATATATATATATATATATCAATGCCTATGCGATAACCTGTACGTTTAATATGCCAAATGTATAGTAATTGGGAAGCGATCTCGTGGCACGAGCCAGGTCGCCGCGTACGAGCAACGGGCTCTCAGGGCCGAAAAACAAACGCGGCGAACAAATGCCCGGAAACTTCTCGCAACGCGGTTCAACGCAGATCGCAGATCGCAGAAACGAAGGAACGCGAGTTGTAAAGTGAGACGAGACTGGTATAGCCGTTTCGTAGAACGGGGAGGATCGATTCGAGAAACGTTGCGCTTCCGAATAAAAAAGAAGAAAAAAAAATGAAAATAAAAAGAAGAAGAAGAAGAAGGAGAAAAAGGGGGGGAAAAAAATAGTCGTGAAGAATCTTACGAAAGCGAAGAAAGATGTACAAAATTCGCTTGCCGACTGTTCGTCGATGATCGACGACGACGACGTAGACGATGACGAGAAAAATGTCTTTACGGAACGAGAAAGAGAAACAAAAGTTGCGTTCGATCAATTCGAACGCAAGTCAGCATGCAAAAGGGAGAACAAAACTGATTGCTGTACTTTATTAAGTGTAATGATTGCCTTCCTGCCATATTTGGGGTATGCCAAGTATAAAAATTATAAGGTTTAGAGATTAGGGAAAACGAAAAAAAAAAAAAAAAAAAAGAAATTAATGACGACACTCTACCGTGAAATTCATTAAATTTGGGACAAGAGAGAGAGAGAGAGAGAGAGAGAGAGAGTGTGTGTGTGTGTGTGTTGTGTGCGTGTGCGTGTGCGTGTGGATGGACGGGCGAGTGCTGCGTGCCTGTGTCGAACCTCGTTCGGAGCGAACGAGGATAAGGCGTGTGTGCGTGTGAATGTTTTCTTTCGGGAAGATCGTGCTATTTTTCAAAATTTTACATGTTCGACGCGTACGCGACTTTTCGCGAAAAGAAACCCTCGATCCTCGACAATCGAAGAACGATACGAGGCGTAACGGACGTAGTAGCCGCCTTCCATTTCCCGGGATCGTTTTCGAATATCCTAGCGCGGAGAAGATCGATCGTGCCAGCTCCACAGACTCTGTCGGGATATCGTTTTCAACGATTCTACGCGTCTACTCCTCGATCGTTCTTGCCTACAAACCCCGCCGTACAGAGATCTCGTGCGACGCCGAGCGTCTAGGCGCGAGCGAGTTCGTAATCGAATCTTAGTAGTCATCCTAGAAACAGAAAGAGGGGCAAGACGGAAAGAGAGAACGTGAGAGAACAGGATGGACAAGTTGGACGGGAAGAATGAGAGAGAGAGAGAGAGAGAGAGAGAAAAGGGAGCGCGTGTGTGACAGAGAGAACGAAACTTTCTAAACAACAAAAAAAAAAAAAGAAAAAAAGAAAAAAAAGCAAATTTTTTTAAAGTTGGCACACTGGTTCGAGTGACTCTTTGTAAGTATTAAAACGTAAACAAACAAAACAAACAAACAAAAAATTCGAAGTGGCCTTCTGTAAAAGGGAAAGACCATCGCTTTTCGCTTTTGCTCGAGAAAAAAAGAAAAAGTAAAAAAAAAGAAAAAAAAGGAAAAAAGAAGACAAAGAGAATGAAAGGGCGTTATAGGCTGTCGTCCATCGTGTTGTACGTTGTTTAGGCAGCTTTTTCTTTTTTTTTTTTTCTCTTTTTTTTTCTGGAGAAAAAAACGTTCTCGCGCCACTCCCCTACGAAAAAAAGCTTTAACGACGGTTCGTACGAAAGTTTTCCGCTGAGGAATTTCGATTAGCAAGTTAATCATCGGCGATTAGAATATTAATTCGGGACAAACTCTAAAGGAAAAAAAAAAAAAGAAAAACACGTTATTCTTGATACTGAAAGACTTTTGGATGAAAAAACGAAGAAAAATATTCGGCGTGTGTTCAGTCGACGAGGAGAGAAGAAAAAAAAAATGTGCCGAAGTGGGCGCGTTTTCATTTTTTCGTGAAAAATCGGTAGAGAACGCGCGAGAAAGCGATCGATTAAGGAGGAAAAGGAGAGAAACTGGCGGGTGGGAGGGGAGGAACGGAAAGGAAGGATCGCGAATTTAAAAAGATTTTATTACGATTTAGGCTTAATGTGTTCAACGAGAAGGTAAATTTGAACGAAACCAGGCGGCGCAGGTTGAAGCAAAAGGAGAAATTCGCGAGTCAAAGCGCGAGGAGATGGGGGAGGGGGGAGGGAGATTGAAAGAAGAAAGGAAAAAAATATAATTCAAAGAGCCGCGAACGAAATTGCGAGAAAGAATTAGCGGAACGACAGAGAGAGAGAAAGAGAAAGAGAGAGAGAGAGAGAGAAAGAGGTTAGGGAGAGTGTGCGAGAGAGAAAAAAAATAGGATGGGGCATGTGAACAGGCGAGAATGTGGAAAAAGATTAAAATTAATATTGTATAAAAAAGAAAAAAAAAGTAGCAAGTGCCTTCCAAACAAAAAAAAAAAAAAAAAAATTTACGTGTCCCGTAGACCGTGACCACTTGTGCGTGATGGAAAGTCATTCAAAATTTCGCATCGCCGGATAAATCTCATTTGCGACAGATAGTGAAAGAAAGAAAAGAGGAAAAAGAAAAAACAGAAAAGAAATGCAACAGAGAACACAGAGAAAATCAGAAAACCAGAAGTACAGATGATACAAAGATACAAAAAGAATTATTTGTGGGGACGTTGCGTAAAAAAATGAGCATCTCTTCGTTAGAGTACACACAGTACGTATATATATACATATAAATATATATTCATATTCTCTTCGTCTCGTCTCGAAATCTTGGCGACGCTGCGCGATTTCTGCGAAGATTAAAAACAGCACGGTTATAGTCGAGGATAGAATCAAAGGAGGAACTCGAATATTTTGCGAAAATTTTTGGCTTTTCTTTGAAAACAATACGACGACGATCCGACCCTGATCGATCCTGTGTCGGAATCTCCAAGCTGATTTGAAACCGATTCGGGCCGGGTCGGCAACAGGGAATCTCTTCTATATCGATTACGCAATGTGTCTACGAATCGTTTGTGTGCGTGTAGAGCGAATGAATAGAATCTACAAGCAAAAATACCCGACAAAATTTCTGTTTTGGATCAACTCACCACCGGTAATACCCTGAATGGCATATTCTCGTAAACGTTTCTTTTCGATTCGCTTGTACGAAAGAACGGAAATGGATGGTAAACAGATGAGATAGGAGGAGGAATGAGCGGGACGGGATGGAATGGAACGGGAAGGGAGGGGTGGGGTGGGGGGAGCGATTGATGGGAGCGGGGAGGTTCAAGGGGGAGGGGAGAGCGTGTAACTGAATTATCACAGAGAGGGGACGGATATTTCGAGAATCTTTCGTTTACGCATTTTGATATATCTGTGAACAGATGAAGAAAAAAAACAAAGATACTTATATTACATACATAAGGTGTAAGTGAAGAAAAAAAAAAAATGCATCTAATACGCTATTATTGATATAGGACACAAAGTAAAGTAAATATATATGAGACAAAAAAAAAATATATATATACATAAATTGATATATTGATGCTATAAGGTTGCTGCTGGATGCGTTTTACGTTGAAGGAAGATGATGCTGTTTTCCGTTCAAACGTCGTCGAGGACGAAACAAAAGTTCACGGGGAGAATTAAGTTAGACAAAAGTAAGGATCTTAGAGTCGAAGACAAAGTAGCTCTTAGAATTTTTATCGAGGCAACATAAGGACGGACGGGCGTGACGCTAGTATACTACTACTTTCGAGAGAAAAAAAAAAAACCCACACATTTGTCCTCGTGGCTTGTATGTACGTTTCACTCGCTTATCGATCGGTCTCTCGGGTTCTTCCGTCTTCTCGATCCGTCTTGCGCGTCCGTCTTCCCCCGATTTCCTGGGGAAATACGTGCGAACGCTCGCAAAATCCGTGCCGGGAGAACGTAACGCGGCCAGCAAGATCGATCGAAACGATGGAGATCCGCGAGAGATCTGTTCCGTGGAAACACTGCTGCTATTGTAGCGAGGATCCACGCGAGTCTCGAGAACTCGTGGAGGAGAGCGTGGAAAAGTTGGTGAGCGAGACGTGTTCGGCCGCGGGACAACCAACAACAACAACAACAACAACTACAACACTCGGCCGCAGTTCCACTTGCGAAACAAAAATTTCTAACCAAATCGTTCTACGAAGAATCGAAGGATACAATTGCGAAAACAGGATCTGAAATGTATCACGCACGCGCCGAATCTTTCCTTTATTTTCGCCTTAGCTTCGAGATGTAATGTCTTATATTATAGTAACGAGATCGACCCGACGTACGCGCCACACTTGTTCCACAGTGAAAGGAGAAAACACCGGAAAGAAAATACAAGCAGACAGACCGTAAAGGGTAAAAACGATAAAATGAAACATAGTAATCCCCGTACCCGCGATTTACGACTAGTTTACAGGATGTAACACGTAACTGCGTTTACTAGAGGGCGTTACGGCAGCGGAAGGGAACGCGATCGAGAAACAACCGAGATTTCTTCGACTCGCGTTTCTCTGCTGTAGCAACGGCCAAACATTCGAGACTAAACTAGGTGGCATCCTAATTTACAGAAACTATTAGTCGAACAATAGAAACCGCACATTTTTCAGAATCCGATTATTTAATCGTATACACCCGGCCGTGAGCCAATATCCGACACAACGCGTTAACCAACACAAGCGCACCCGATCACTTCACCCGCGCGTTTTACGCCATCACACACACGACACGGAACACTTACATATACGCATACACGTACACGACACGTACACAGAGGAGACACGTCCGTGGAAACGCAAGACAGAAGAGGGTGAGCGAAGCATTGAACACGATAAGATAAAGAAAGCAAGGAAGAAAGTAGCATGCAAGAGAGGAGCGTGAAACGAACGAACGAAAGAGAAATAGCGAGAAACAAAACGAAATTGGAAACAAAAACAAAGGGGGGAAAAAAAACAGGTATTCTTGGAACAGGTACACTAAAGGAAAACACACAATATGCTACGCGACAAACAAGCACAACCGCGCGTTCACTGTAAATAGAAAAAGGATGCAACATTACCTATTATACGACAAAGTTCATCTTTATTATCGTAACCTGTAATATATTTATTTGTCCGGTCGCAAAGGTATTTTATGTAATTTAAGATCCCCGAGCCTCTGTTTCATTTGAATTTGCCGCCATGGTGCGTCAACGAGGCATTGGTCGACGCGACAAGAGGTAGAAAGGCGTTCTTCTTTTGGTATGATAAATATTTTTGAAAGCACTTGCGAATATGCGTCGTGGAGTCGCGTACGGCTTCCGCGGCCAGTGCCTCGCGATAATTAGGAGCGAAATCGAAAAGGACCACGTACAATGAGTTCTCGCGATCGAAGTTGATCGTAGCAATTTCCCGACCAGCTCTTACCTCGAAATTTAGAATCGTCTCCAAATCGTTATCGCGGCTGTTACGTACAGGTTCTCTATATCGCCTTTCAACTTCGATCGCCTGAACCAGTGAACTGGAGTGTCTAACCGTCTTCGTTTCAGTTTCTAATCTCAGATCGATTCGTTCGAAATCGTCGCGCAGCTTACAAGTAGAAGACGCTCGCTGTCCAAGAACGACGACAAGCGGAAGTTTCTTTGCAGATGGCGATAGTTTATAGTTACTATTGTTTCTATTTACATTAAAAGCAAAGTATTTCTTTTTTCAGTAGATAGTCGAATTGATTAAACCGACACACTATACGAATAGTTGCGCGCGTGTTTTTTTTTTTTTTTTTTTTTTTTTTTAAAGAAACGCCCGACATATGTATGTGTACCCGTGACGAATCGCGAAGTGACGTTTGTTTCCGTTTTCTTCCCAACACCTCGGACACGAGGCTTTGGAAATACATACATAGTTTTTGTTTAGTCACGGATGCAAACAAAACCTGTCACCCATTACGAATTCCTCTTTTATTTATTACCGATTAGCATGTAAGATGACGTTCTACCAACATATGCTATAATTATAAATACACCTTATATATAGTGGAGTAAGCGTTACATTACCTACCTACCCACCTACCTACCTATCCGTGCTTGACGGGTGAAACAAACAGATGAATCACGCAATCATATATTTAAGTTGCTACTTGGCACGTATACCTAAGTAATATACTAACATAAACAGTATGCAATAATAAATATGAGAAATTAAATACGATCTTTTTTTTCACTGAATCGCACAGCAACCCCCTCCCCCATTCCTCTTTATCATCCGATGCACGCGATGCTTCAACGATTGTTCTTGATAAAAACATGGGTTCTCCGCCGAAAAGGCAATGAATTATTACTTCGTAAGGTACTGTGGCAGCAAATAAACAATGTCTTTTTTTTAATATGTTATCTTTTCTTGGAAATAATTTTATTTACATTTCGTGAGAAATAAGTTGTTCGGATTGTCATGATAAACGTAACGTCAGCATTCTGTATACGATCATATTATATATAGATGTTATATATAGATGAATACATAATGGTGGAAGATATGAAAAATACGATAAAACGACGCAGTTGTACTTTTTTTTTTTTACAAATCGAAGACATATTCTTGTTAAATCAAATCTTCCATAATCTTGTCAAATTAAAGACAAAATTATACTTTCTCGTTGGGTGATATTTTGTTCCTGTTAATCTCTTGTTGTGCGAGTATTTGCACGGGTTGCGAATTTGGTAGATTTAGGCTGTTTTGTTGGGGCACGGCGTTCGTCTGAACATTTTGTGGTACTTGATTTAATAGGTTTTGTTGTTGCTGGAAATTTGCGGCTTGAGGTTGAACTTGTTGAATTGGAATTTGCCCTTGTTGTTGAACTAAAGGCTGATTTTGTTGAATCTGTGCTTGTTGAGCCTGTAGCTGCTGAACAGGAATTTGATTTTGAGATATCTTCATCTGTTGATATTGCTGATTCGGTGGTATTTGCCCTTGTAATTGTTGCTGCTGTTGAGAGATTTGACCGTGAATTTGTTGCTGAGGAATTACAATTTGTGGCTGCTGTTGATACTGCGGATGAATCTGATCTTGAAATTGTTGATGCAACATATTTTGATTTGGATCTACTTGTGGAGGAACTAATCCGGGAGAAATTGGTTGTCCATGTTGTGATGGAAACTATAAAATGTCAATAAAATTACTCTTACAATATACACATTATTCAGTTTTAATTTTTATTAATTAAACGTGTTAAATTTAACATATTTTTATGCTGCAAATCAAATATATTTCAAAAAATTGAAATTACTTACCGACTCAATATCTTCTGGTATACTATCTGTTTCTCGTGGTATCTAATGACAGCAACAAAAAGTGCACAAGCTAATTATTATCAATTACAAAACCACTACAAATAATGTTTTTTTTTTAATAAGGAGATTAAACAAGTAAATAAAAACTCATTGCCAATAACATACTTGAAGTAATAAGAAAAAATACTACTACTGCTACAGGTTCTCTGATCAACTAACCTAAAATTAACTATTTTCGTGTACTTGTATGAATACATTACTACAAGTATTATGCAAAAGTATCTAAACGAAACAACTTTGATTTCATTTCAAAATTTTTAAATGTTTAATTTTGAATAACATAATTCGAACTACTACCATAACCTGCAATTGACTTTTGTACGTAACAACATTACTCTCACACATGCACCAGAGTGAATTCGCTAAATCTCATTACACACGTAAACACAAACAGATATTAATTACACTTCTTAAAGCTCGAATAACAGCACAATTTTGATCTATAATATACAATCGTCACTATGTTGTATATTAAAAATGTGACTCTGAAATTCGATCAATTTGCCAGCTAATCATTTTTTTCATTGCTGCACTGCAACGAGGCAGGAAACGTGCGATGCAAGAAACGTGGCAGTTAACTATAACAATGATTTTTGACATATTACACTTACTATTCCTTTGGCAATCAGATTCTGTATCTCGTCTTGTTTGTGTTTTGCAAAAGCTTCATACTCTTCCTGAGTATAAATTTGTTGATCATCCAAATCTTGCCATCCTTCATCTTGTTGGAAACTTGGTTTCTTTGTTTGTTCCAAAAATTCTTTTAAACTAAAATAATAACATGAAATAGCTAATGTTGAAAAGAGCAGAATGTAAATATACGTACCTAATAAGACCATCTTTATTAAGATCAGCCTCGTTAAATACATGTTCCCTCATTCTTTCCATTTCCTCGGCTCGCTTCAACAAATCGTCTTGAGGCGTCCCTTGAGCATAAAGTTTATCCAATTCTTTCAAAAATAAAGTTTTGACTTCGACTTGATCCCATGCTCCATTGCCATCGATATCTAAAATATTAATTTTTATGAATTATACAAAATTAGTAATACTATAAGGATAAAAGACAAATACAAACATAATACCATGAAGGAAAAAGAATGTTTTAGGATTAAATTCTGTATCTACATGATCTTGTTTTTCCCATACTTCTTCTAATTGCTGTTTACTTCCTGGATGATGTATCTGTAAAACGTGAAATGTAAGGGACCCTGTGTGTGTGTGTACATACTCAACTATGTATATTAACATATATTTACAGGTTCATGCTTTTTTCTCTTTTCCCTCAATGCTTCTTGTTCTTCCTCATACTTTTTTTTCTCTGCATCGCTCATAACTGTAATAAAACAAAATAAGAACATAAGAAAATATTATCATAAGTACATCATAAATAAACAATAAACAATTAATTTATAATACGATTTAATTTTCCTCGCTCAGCGTATTTCTTCTCCATTTCATGCCGTTTAAATTCCTCCCGTCTTCTCCTATCAGCATTTGCCAAATCTTTAGTAGTCTGTGTACAAAGAACAATTTCATGGATTACATTCTTATAAATAATAAGTTAGCTTCATTTAATACTGCTATTGTGTTACCTTCGCAATTAATTTCTTTAAATCCTGGATTTCAAATGTACGTGTGTTAGTATGATCTAAATGTTCCGTTATTTTCAAATGATCAACATCTAAACCATTTTTTAATTCATTTTCTTTTGTTGCGAGATGTCTTAATCTCTCTAGTTCTTCTCTCTTGATCTCATCCAATTTTGACCTAACATTATGATTTACAAATTCAAGTTGATCGGCTATCTTCCCTGTCTAATGAAAAAAGAAAAGATTATAAGCACATGTAGCAAAGTGAAATTTATTCTAAAATATACGTTATCTCTTTCAAATTACACGTATATCTGTTTCAGTTGCTTTTTCCAACTTTGCTTGAAAATCAGGATCACTCTCTAACACTTGAACTACTTCCATCAAGTATCTACGATACTCCAAGTCTACCTACATAAAGAACTTTTGTTATGAATGTTGTTGTATTAATAAAACAATTATGTTTATCATATATCACACTTACCATTTCTTCCACATCTTCAACTTCATTTTCATTATCATGGTTCTTGCTTTTTTGATTAACAGGCGGGGCAACTGACCATTGAACTGTCACAGTTATTAAAAGAAATAACAGGAAGTACTTCATTTTCCTATCAAAGAAAAATTATAAACCATTAATGAGAAAAATTATGAAATCTCATCCATTTACCGTGTTTATATGTTTCATTAAACAGTGTAAAACGCTAATATATGTAAGTAAATGCGCAACATATGTTTAAACAAAGTGTCGTAACATATCGCAATGGGTGTTTACGCTGATTGGATAATTTTAATCACTAGCGATTATAATAATTGATTAATCGAATTACAAACAAGGATCATTTGAAATAACAAGACTACGTTTTCCTTATGTGTACAAAAATACACTGTTGACAAAAATTAGGGATATTTCATAATAAATATGAAGCAATTAAAAAATAAAACATTTGATTTTTTTTTTATTAAACAAGAACATCAGAGAAGTAAACGACAAGTCAAAGAAAGTTGTTCTTGTTTAATAAAAAAAAAAAAAAACATCAAATGCTTCTTTTTTTTATCGCTTCATATTCATTTAGAAATATCCCTCAATTTTTGTGAGCAGTGTGTCATGACCTTACGTAAAAATATCGCCCAGAAATTCTGCGCGAGAGAAAGATACAAAAATAAAAACTTTGGAAACCTAAGCAGACGAGAATGTCAAGAAATTTCAAATCAAACTGGCTAAATGAGGTCAATAAAAAAATGTATACGAGAAGTCGTCTCAATTGCTGTTTACCATTACTTTGATTGCCTCGGTGAAAGTGCAGACGTATAAATTTTTACTCGACGTGCTACACACAGAAGACACTCTACTCACACTTGAAACTTAATTAATAAATAATCACGGATCTTCGTGTAAGTAACCAGTAATCAGTATATATAACCGTATGCGGTTAGTGATCAGTTGCGGGAGAGAAAAGTGAGAATGTATTGTACGTATCACGTACCAAAACGTATTACTATGCACCAATTACTGGAAAATTGGATAACCTATCGTGACGAATGATAAAGATTACCGTGATACGCTGCTGCAACGTTTGTTTCCGAAATGAGTAATGACGTGATCTCCGTAGCGGAATTGTCACTGATGCAAGCATAAAAGATAGAGGGTGGAGTTTGCTTCTCGTTGGAATTCTGCGTGATATCGAACGCAATATCAAGTGACGTCAATTACTATGAAACGTATAAACGATACAAGAAAAAAATAGATAATCATACGAAATGGATGCTCGTCAGATGCAATCAGTACCAAAAGGCACTGATTTATTCACGATTCACGATATTTTTCTCACCTTTCGGACGATGTTTCGTACGTACACTATACGGTATCACGTTGCAGAAGTTTACAGTTAGCACGGTAGATGGCGACAGAATTCATTTTTGTTACAAGCAAATGAGAATTTTTATCGATAGAGGTTACTTTTTGAAAAATTCACTTTGTCCGCATTGTTGCACAGATCTTATATCGAAATTATCAATGAACAATTCTGGTTTTTTTCAAGTTTTTGTTGATTTTTAATTTAATTACTTACTTAATTTAATTAATTCAATACAAATTAATCAAGCCTAATATCGTAAACGAGGTATGTTTGTGTCTAATATTAATTATATATCAACGTTCTTTTGTTGAATGCAATAAAAATAACATTTTTTTAAATTCCACGGTTTAGGTTAAGTTTACGTTTAGGTTAAAAATAAGTGAACGTAAATGAAACAAAAATTTCGAAGCGAAATGATTTTAAAATATGCAACGTGATCATTGGTCAAAATCAGAAATCGATCTCAACTTTTATGTGGTAAATATACACTATCAATCGTGTACAATCGAAACAGATGTTCCTACGCTTCCACCTTGATAAGTGAGAACAGTCCAAACAGTGAAAGGATCGAACGCATTTTGCAACAGAATATACGCTACACCGCACTATCGATTAAAATAAAAATCCTTCCTCTATGAAACACTCTTGTAACGAATTACACTGAAAGCGAAAAGTTACAAGCAGCAGCGAAGTACGATCTTTTTCTTCGAACCAGCCATAATCATTGTCATTTTGGTGTGAAACCAAATTAAAAGAACGATAGCTGGTAATATTGTTTTTCTGGGGGAAAAGAATGAAACGACAATGATGAATATTCGATGATCTTGCGAAATATGTACACAGACCGATTAACCTCTTGCACTAGTAACTGGTTCGCGGACCATAACGAGTGACCAAACCATACAATAATTCGTATACAATAATTCGTCTTTTTCGAATTCATTGGTATGTTACTGGATAGAAGTTAATGAAAAGTAATAAATTTATTATCTGTTTTGCCTGTGTTATATTTCAATATACTTAAAACTAAGAAAATATTGCAATTTTGGGCCAAAATGAAACAACAAAATTAAGTTTAATTAATCCCTTGCGCTGGTAAACTGGTTCGCGGACCATAACGAGTGACCGAGCCGTGTACAATAATTTGTCGCTTTCTTTCTCTGTTGAACTCGTCGGCATGACATCGCCAGATAGAAATTATTGAAAAGTAATAAACTTATCACTTGTTTTGCCTGGGTTACATTTAAATACACATAATATTGAGAAAGTGTTGCAATTTGGGACAAAAAGTTGTCGACGTGGCACGTCGTATTCCATCCAGCGCAAGAGGTTAAATCTAAAATGATTAAGACAAATATTTACTCCGATTCGAGAGAAAGCAGAAGGTGAAGTGAAAGACGTGTCGAAGAAAGCTCGAGAAATGCGTTGAAACGCAAATGTAATCTGTGGCGGAACTCTCAAGAGGAAAATGGCAGTAGGAGAGCTCGTGAACGATCGCGGCCACCCTGTCGAACATTCGAGGAATCGTGAACTTTTGGATTCCTCGAACGGTCATTAGGGCAGAGCTATACCTGTGTCCACGATCCTCCGCGGGCCTATTAGCTTGAAAGAATGCCTAGAACGACAACTGTTTTCGTATCTGATTGACCCATCTCTCGGGACTGGCGGAACTCGGACAAACGGCTAATTTTTCTTCGAGCTAACGACCTTCGTATACCTGACGCATCCGCGCTCTTCTCTCACTTACAATACCGTCACGCAAACATTCCCGCGTACTAGTGCTCGATTTCTTACTCAGTCCTTTTTTTTTCTTTTTTTTTTTTTCGATTCAGCTTAACAAGCGTTCGTTCACTGTGCGCAATCGATTATTCCCTGGCGAACGGGAAAGCAAATGTGACGGTGGAATTTCAACGTCGACTCGTGCTCCTTCGAACGCGCCTGTTCTACGTGGGCGTTGATGTCTCTCCCCCTCGTTAAAGTGCGCAACTTTAAAGTCACGGCAAATACAATCTCCACTTTTTCCTCCTCGAGGAAAAAAAGGATCTGCTTACCTAAAAGTACACGTACGTATAACATATATATCCGCCGTTATTCGTTCCAAGCGTGAGATTCGCACGTGGATAGCGACGAGCGTGCAATTCCACGAGCGTGCTCCTTTGCTCGGAGAGGCAGGTTGCAGGGAGTCGTTGTCGGACGAAATAGTGTGCGAAAAAATTGCCGGTACATGTTGAGATATGTGACGGAAGCAGCTAAATGCTTAAACGGTCGAAACGCAAGCTTAAATGCCGTTGATTGCAGTAGGAGGGAAATGAGAGGTTGCACGACGGGCCTCGTATCTCGTATCGTGGCAACGAGTGTTCCCAAAGACGACCACGGGTAACGATGCGAGTCCTTCCACGAATCCGGCCAGCGAGAACGATCGTTCTCCTCCTCCTCCTCCTCCTCCTCTTCTTCTTCTTCTTCTTCGGTGAGATTCGATTATTCACGTTCGTTGAATTTCTATCTTCGGAAGTTCTCTTACCTCCTGGGGAGGGACAGCGAGCAGCAGCCGCCGGTGTGGAAATAGACCAACGTGTTTCTATTAGTAATTTTTCGAGTCGAGTCTCGAGCCTCGGACCTCGAACAATTTAAAGAAAAAAAAGTGCACGCAGGGTGAGTTAGTAAGCCGAGTTGTAAACGAGCACCTTAGCGTATCTTCGACGGATCTGAACAAAAGATCACTTTCGTTCCCTCCGTGAGAAATTGAACTTCCGTTCTCGGGAAGATGCAGAGGTACGGGAAAATGGTCCCGAATGGGTTAGGTTAACCTCCACCCCCAAGATGGCTATACGACGATATCGTGGCTGTTGGTCAATGGGCGATAACTAACAATAAGTAAGCTCGACAGTGGCAAACAACGAGCTTTCCACCTTTCGGCTCGAGTGATGACTCTTGCGGTGAGGGATGAGATCGCATCTCTCAAAGGAGGGAAAAGAGAAGAGAGAGAGAGGATGAGTAAGAAGCAAGAGATCGGAAGAAAGATAAAGAAAACGTGGAGGAAGAGAAGGGTGGGAAAGGTAGAGAAGCAGTGGAACAGGTAAAACAAAAAGTCGGGGAAAAAATCGAAAACCAGTCTCAGTCGGTTGGTAGTCAGTCGGGAGTCTAGCAGACTGCGGCAGCGAACTCGCTCTCTTCTCCTTTTCCACCACCATCGCTATCAGCAACCACCACCACCAGCGTGTTCGGCAACGACTTACGGTAACAGCGGCAGCGGCTACACCACCACCACCACCACTACCAACTCGCTTGGCTACCATCGCCAACACCTCCTTTTCCTCCTCCTCTTCCTCGTCCTCCTCCTACACCTCTTTCCCTTTCCGCTTCTCTGTTTCTCTCGGTCCACGCGTCCTTCCTTAATTCAGTCCAATGAGAGCCGCTCTTCGATTCATCGTACCCGTCGGTCGTAGATCTGCTCGTCGATCCCGATACTCTTCTTCACGCAGGATACTCTTTACCTTTTTTTTTCTCTCTCTCTTCCGCGCGCGAATCGTCTTCCTCCACGAATCGTCGACGGTTCGCCACAGTAGTATCGTGTACCTCCGGCGCTGTCCACCTCCTCCCAGTCCCCGCGTCGCGACGCGCATCGATTCTAAGATCGGAATTTTACAAACCGGTTGGACAGACGCACGAACACGCGCGGACCCGAGGCAACCGTACGCGGACAAGCTCCTCCAGTCGTGGCTCAGAGAAAGTGTCGACCAGTGCAGCCGAGAGCAAGAGTGGATCGTTACACGGAAGATCGGTTAAATCGTGTTGTTCGCCGGAAACATCGTGGATCGTACTCGTGGAAATCCGACCACGTATCAAATCCGTATACGAACGACCCTACGCAGAAGAAAAGAACGAAGCTGCTTCCACTTCTGTCGAAGCTTCAACCACGACCATCGTGCTCGAGCGTAGAGAACATGTTTTTCTCTTGTGCCAGTCGCAACGCGAACCGATTACGCGTGCTTAAAATAGTTGGCCGTGCATAGGTAGACCCGCTGCTCGCTCGTTGGAACACGTTTCTGGACTGGACAGGTAAAGACAACCTTAATACCCCGGGCAAATCTCCTTCGTTTCTGTTCCGGTCTTCTTCGTGATCTCGAGAAGATCGGGGGAGGAGAAAATATATCACGCGGCTGGCGCCATTGATCTGAGCCGCAGCACCGCAAACTGCGATTCAAATCGTCACGGATCTAACGTCTCGCGGCACGATGATATCGCGTCGATCCTCTAAGATTAGCCCACAAGAGACGCCTGATCCAGCGTAGCATAGACGATTCTCTATACGTGTGAGCGCATATTCCGCTGCCGCGCGATATCGGATTCTTGCGAAATACGTTTTATCTTGACATGCGTACACGCATTTATAGTCGGCCATTTCACGATCGATCGAACGCGAGCCCCCCATTTTTTTCTATTGCTTCTTAGAACGAGGAAGAGAACGCGCGGTAGGTTTAACATCGCCGACACGAACAGACCAGACTTTGAAACGATATTTATATTCTCTCGCGGTCCGAGCAAATTCCGCTTCGACGTAACGAGAAATTCATTTTCATAAATCGCGTGAAAAATCGTTCGAACGTATACGCAGAGTATATAGAAATGATCGTTCGTCAACATTTTCCAAAACGGGAACACTTTTTAGCATACCTCGATAGTTTCTAAGCACACCTTTGGAATACAAAACCTTTGGAAAAAAAGAAAGAAGAAACTGCATTCCTTTATAGAAATACTCGCGCGAGTTTGAATCAATTGTTCGCTTCTCATTGAATATGCGTTTTCGCGGGCAGATCGAAGAACTACAGAAAAGAAAGAGTGAGAGAGAGAGAGAGAGAGAGAGAAAGAGACGAATATCGCAAAAAAAAAAAAAGAAAAAAAATTTCCCACTGCAAATATTTTAAGATTATAACTTCAACCAAAATATAAAAAAAAGAAGACGGAAAATTAGAATAGAAGTTTGAAGCGACGTAGGTAAATGTCACGATACCTTCCACGAACGCGAATTGCCGTTTGTTATTGAAGTTATTCCGTTGCCTCGGGCCAGAACAAGGCGAGGCTGTAAGCACCAGCCTCCTCCTCTGTCCCTGGATGACGAACGTTTACATTTACAATACAGCTGGAATTTTTCTAAAATCGTTCGGCCTCTAGTCGCGGATACGCGGCGCTCGGCGATGTCTCCATCGTGATTCCTTCGTCGCACAGGACATCCGCGGCATTTCAATTAGCCACTCGGACGAATCAAACGTCCAGCCGTTTTCCTCCGCGATTTTCTATCGATCCTCTTGCTTGCAATTTATTTTTCGAGCAAACATATTGTCGCTTGTATTGGTGCCAACAATTTTTTGAGAAATATATCGCAAGTATGTATCATTGGAATTTTTTTAGAAATATATCGCAAGTATGTATTCGGAACGTTGAATTGCATCTCGAAACATTATTTTTATCAGACGTTTCTTGACAAATCGCAATTTTCGTACTTTTAATTTTCCTGAATGAAAATTTTTTGGCTAGTCCAACGAAATCTTTCTGTACGACAATGAATTCTAAGAACACGATGCGTATTTGCGTGTATATATATATGCATCATTGTGCAAAGCATAATCGGCATCCAGAGCAAACGTGTGTCCCAAGACGCGTCAAAATGAAAGGAATTTCTACACCCTCTGTTACGAGTCTCTAGTATCCTCAGTATTCATCGACCATTCGGTAATTCGACCGAACTAAAGTCGAGATTTAATGAAATGGCGCCTGTCCAAGGAGCATCGGGGGTTACACGATCGTGAAGGGCAATTGTAACAATTAGCTGCCTCAAAGAAGTCGTAAAATCGTAAAACGATTCCTTTCTGTATTCATTTGTAGATACTACCTTTCGAACATTAGTGTGGGCCTACATGAAAACGAGGCTTTAACATCGATCTTGTTCCTTTCGAATCCTTTCGAATTTCAATTAAGGGGAGGATCGCGTTATACGATAAATTCTTTCTCATGAATTCGTTCGCGAACTCGATCACGTGACGTCGAGTAACTTTGGCTTTAACCATTTGCGCTGGCAACTGATTGCGGACCGTAACGAGTGACCGAACCGTATACGACGATTCGTCGCTTTCTTTTCGAACTCGTCGGTGTGACATCACTGGATAGAAATGACTGAGAAGTAAAAATAAATTTATTATTTGCTTTGCCCGGGTTATACTTAAATATATACTTGAAACTTACAGTATTGCAATTTTGAGGACATTTTGAGTCTAGAGTTTAAGGTTTCACTCCATCGAGGGAATCGTCATTTCCAATTTTTGTGTAAATCAGAGGCAATTATAGTTAGGTAATGCTCGAATCGAGTACGATTCTTCTCAGGCTGGCACGTACCGTAACAGATCGTTGGAATGAAATTCCTTTCCAATAATAATTCACCTGAAACATCGTAGGATGTGATTGTGTATAAATAGCCATTTGACTGGCTATCGATGTTTAAAAGCTGCAATTACCCGTACTATCGAATTGTATCGGGCATCGCGTCTTTGCAAATCGTCTCTTCGTCTCTTTCGCCTATCTATTCGCTTCTTCGTCTTGCTGCAACATGTGTGTTTTCCATAGTTTCTTAGCTATTTCGTCGAGGGAAAAATTCTGTCATCGTCCGAAGAAAGTGAAGAACCCCGTTTGGTCTCGTTTCACCTCTTAATGATATCCTGACTCACATTCATGAATATTCTTAATAACCTTAATCGAGCTTCATGGTCGTGTAGTCAACACACAGGCGATTCACCGTGGACACGCGCGCTCCTCCGTGTTAGAAGGAAGTGGCGCCCATTTTATCGCTATTTTTAATTGCTCTCGATAACCTTTTCCCGGCGCATGTAAACTCGACACCCCCCTTCCGATATTTCCATATCGCTGTGCGATGATCTTCGATGTCCGGCCTTGTTCTGTGTTCTGTTTCGACGCAAAAAGTCCGTCTTCGCCGAGCACGAAGAGGAAAAAGAAATTCGTCCATCGTTGAACCAGTTGCGACATTAATGTCCTAAGTAACGCGTCTTGTTTCCTCAGAGTACAGCTATGACTAGTTGGAACGGAACGTTGGTCGCCGCTGTCACTGGGATCTTACTTTTCTTGGCAATTGCGAAACACTGCGATGGATGCAACGAAGCGATCTGCGCCAGCGTTGTTAGCAAGTGTATGCTCACGCAGAGCTGCAAATGCGATCTCGTTACCTGTACCTGCTGCAAAGAGTGTTTCTCCTGTCTTAGTTACCTCTACGACGAGTGCTGTTCGTGCGTAGGTAAGGCTCCCATCGCTTCCCGTTTCTCGCTTACGAACTTACGCTTGCGAACGTTCCAAGCCGCGAGTATCCTAATCGTGTGTTTTGCTACGTCGTAGATCTCTGCCCGAAACCAAACATCACGGACAATCCGTTGAGCAAGAAGTCACACGTGGAGGACTTCAGCGAGCCAATGCCAGGCTTGTTCCAGGCGCTGACCGCGGAACCAGACCCGCACGAACGCTGGTTCACATTCACGTTTCCGGTGGATTTCGACATGTCTCTGTTCGCACCGAAACACGAGAAAGAAGTGAAATACCACATGCGTATGTAAAAGATATACTCGAACGTTAAAGATATACACAGGGTGTCTCGTAACTTGTGGGAGCTGAAAATTGCACGCCTAAAAAATAATGAAAAAAAGTCATATAAATATATGTCCTGTCTGTTTTCGTTTATGAGATACAATGAATTTTCTGTTTTAATTACTTTTACAAAACATGCTCGAAATGACCAGCTTGCATTTGAAGACAAGCCTGCACGCGTCTTGTCATTCATCTGGTTACTCTCTCTATCGTTCCTGGTGTTTCTCGAATTTGTCGGAAGCCTTGCTCTATTCCATTTCGTAGTATTTCAGCACGTTCGATCGATGTTGCGTATACAATAGATTTCAAATGTCCCCACAAGTGAAAATCTAATGGATTCGAATCCGGAGAACGAGCAGGCCATGCAAATAGGACCTCCACGACCAATCCATTTATTTGCAAAGTGTCGATTTAAAAATTGCCTAGCCACTCGGCTAAAATGCGGCGNAAAAAGGTCCAATTAAAAATTTATCAATTATTCCTGCCCATACGTTTAAACTAAACTGGTGTTGATGTCTTGAATGCACAATAACACGTGGGTTTTCTTCATCCTAATTATGATTACTATGAAAATTGAATATACCATATACCTGGTAAAACTAGCTTACAAACTAGAGTTTGCTCTGTTTATAAAAATTCATTATATCTCATAAACGAAGACAGATAGAACATATATTTATCTGACTTTTCTTCATTATTTTTAGGCGTGCAATCAGCTCCCGAAGTGGGTCCCGAAACACCCTGTATACAGATTCATAGTGAAATTGGAAACGAGGAAAAGAAAAAAACAACTTCCCTACTTTTTGCAGACTCTGCCGACGAAGAGATACACCCGCTGAAACCGAACATAAAGACAGTGAACTGCACCGTTGCATTTATGGCTGAATGTAACTCGTGGAACAAGTGTCGGGCGTCTTGCCAGAGCATGGGGGCTACCAGTTACAGATGGTTCCACGACGGTTGTTGCGAGTGTATAGGAGACACCTGCATCAACTACGGAATAAACGAATCGAGATGCATGCGCTGTCCGCTGGACATAGAGGAGGACGACGACGACTTGAATCACTACGACGATTACGGTCAGAACGAGGATAATCTGGCGGATGAGGAGATCGATTAATTTGTCAGTGGTTTTTCCCCGGATTTGGATGTCATCGTTTCTTTCTTCAGGTGGACATATTATAGTTACATGAAGGGTGACTGCAGTCCCCAGTGACGATTCTTTCCAGAACAGTTTACAACAGTGAACAGTCGTTTGTGCATCGAATCGTGTTCGCATGCAAACACAGCTGATTCCATTTGACGATCGTTTGGGGACGATTTTCAAAATATACGATAAACAACAGACTTATTGTTAGCTCCCCTCGAAAGACATTCGTTCATTAGGAAACGTAATTTACGTCATTATGGCTTATGCTACAGCTAAAAGCTGTCGATTTTTTAAAGGTACGTTTGAACTAAACGAACGCAAAAAGAAAAAAACGGGGGGAAAGGGAAACAGATTTAATGGCGTTTACAACTGACTGGTTTACAATGTACCTTTAACGACGTAGCACAAGTTTATTCTCCGTTTTTTTTAACTGTTAAATGTGCTTGCAAGTAACTCTGTGGTTTAGTTTTCTGTGCCATGTGAATCAAGTTGTACATGTATCGATTCATTCATAATTAGTTGACGCGTACTCGATAGAAATCATTGTCTATGTCCCTCTAACGTTTATTTTTCTACAGATATACTTGTTCAAAGATCGTTTAACGAATGTTACAAGAGCCATGGATTTCCACGATATTAACAAAATAACGAGGGATACGCACGTTAGAGAAACAGAGACAATTTGTACGATTGACGATATGCACATGTGAATAATTAAATTGTAGGAAATGTAATTTATACGATATGGTTTAATATTGATTATACCAATGTATGATATTAAGATAGTATGGGGGATCGAGTAGGAAAATATTCAAGTTTTTAATGTTCGTTTCATCTGGTTATATATAATATAAATAACAACATATTTGCATAATATTGACATACTGAAAAATTGTAGATTTCAATTGAAGTTCGTATCGTATTGAACAGAACAGAATCATTGAATAAGAGTGAAATTCGAAAACGAAATTTCCTTGGAAAGATATCGCTGAGCAATTTTTCTTGAATATTATTGATTGAATAAAGAGAAAAAAAAAAAAAAAAAAAAAAAAAAGAAACGGAGTCAATATCAAATCAGATCATTTATAAATAAACTAGCACAATCGAAAATCTTACAATCATCATAAATAGATTTATTTTGAATGTATCCCATTCTTTGAATGATTTATCGCGCAATATATTGTATAAATACATTCATTCAACTCTACTTTATATTAAACATCGAATGTCGCGTTTTACGTGCTTTCAACAATCACATACATTAATTCATATACGCATTATTAACGCGCGCTATTGCTTGGCGCTTATAAATACAAAAAAAAATATTACAGCATCGAAAGAAAAGCATAAAACATGTTTACATACCACGTATTTATACAGGCGGATGTTCATCTTGCGTTTCATTGCTTTCTGGCAATTTAATGAAAGGCAAATCACCACCGCTCCACATAGAATATAACTGAGATCTCGCACATTCCTGAAATTGTCAATGTAGATCGTTAGATCGAAGTTAATATATAAAAACCATGAGTAAATAATAGTAATAATAACAATAATAACAGCAACAATAGTAATTATTTTAAACTGTAATCATGCATTACCCCACCACCAGCGCTCTCGGAACCTGAACGACTATGAGCTGATATGCAAGAATCTGTTGAAGTACTGCTTTTACGTGATGGTAGTGTATCTACAGTACCTAATGGGAAAATCAAATGTTACATTGACTTTGTTCGTAATGTTTAATGCGTATGTACTCACCAAGTTCGATTTCTCTATGATCACTATGCGAATGAATGCTGTCCTTGCTGTCCCCGTGACTAGTACCACTAGTACCACTTTGCTCTGCACAGTGTATAATAAATAATTTATTGCAGCAATAACGAACGAATAAATTTCAATAAAATTAAATCTCTACCCGAGTCTCGGTGTTCTCCACTGTGTACACTCTGGTCACTTTCGCGTTGTCCTGATTGATCAGAATGTTCGCTCGAATGGGAGTCGTGCGGCCAACATCTCGAACTTATTTTACGTGATCCTGACCAAACAGTCGAATCATACGTCGACTCAAAATTGCACGTTGTTAATGTAACACCTGGGATATGCTGATTCGTATAACCGGACAATTGATTTAGCGGTCTGACTCCTATGCAAATATTTAAAAAGTTCAAAATTGTAATAAATCGTGACTGTAATATAATAAATCATCGTAACAAATAACATTTACTTTCTCTCATGTGCACACCTGGTTTGCAAGATAACAATTGAATTGCCTCCTGCAAACCATCTTGACTAGCCATGGTAGATGTTTTCCATACTGTATCTGGTGTAGTAGATCTACTTCTGTCTTGATGAGGTATTCTTAATCGCGATCTAACGTTTTGTCGCGGCCAGTCTGTGATGTTTCTACAATCCCATGGCATAGACCATCTTCTTATAGGATTTTCTGATATCTCACCCGACATTTCCGCAGCTGCGGTTTCGGACCATCTCCTCTGAACCTGCCACATAAAAGTTGTAATATAAATACTGAACTGACTTAGAAGAAAGCTATAAAATTTGTACCTGCAGAGGAAATAAAGGATATGGCAAAGGTGATCTATGACAATTTTGCACAGATTGTTGCATTGACAATGAAGGTACTAGCGGTGGGGAGCTGTACAGTCTTTCAAAACATTGTTGAAGAGAAGCAATATCACATTCAGCTGTACCGCTTTGAGAACAGGAGCATTCTGCCATTCCCCCTAGAAACAGAATTATCTCATAAATTACGATTACAACCAAAAAACCAAAGATTTAGTTTCAATTCTTACCTAGGCATTCACAACACGCAACACAAAACTGATACTGTAGATTTATGAATGACAATAAATTATCTCTGAGTATGTCCTAAAAATTACAACGTTTAATATAAAAATCTGTCTTTATCAAATACAAATTTCCTACGATAACGCAAGATAATTCAAAGTAAATATGTACATGCTTATCTCCTTCATTTTCTCGAGTTTCATGATCTCTTAATGCAGAAATGATGTGATTCTTCACGGTATTACTTGCTATATAAGTTGCTCTCGTGAGCTCTTCCCAACCAGCAAGACATTGTCTTGTTAATCTGCAGTGTGTCAATGTATCATGAGCAGACAAAAGTGTATGTAACGATTGAGCCAACTTTGTACCCGCTGTGCATAGGCCATTGAGCGTCTGCATTGAAGAAAATAATTTGCTTTTGTACACTTTAACATAAAAGTCATAAAAAAAATACACACAAACCTGTAAGTACACCAGCCAATTACCAAGACATTCATTCACCTCCAACTGAAATTTAGATGATTGATTGTCACTAGGTTTTGGTTCTGTTCCACCTTCTGCCATAGTTACATCCTTTGAAGTTTTATGCTTGCATTAGTAAATTGGCCCTGAACCTATTAATGTAAAATAACGGAAACTGGTGATTCATTACTGAAGATTATTTGAAAATTTTACAAAAAAAAACTAATGTGTACAACCTACAAAATATATTCAAAGTATGATAATTAACCAAGTGGGCAAAAGGTAAAGCAATAGGATCCTTTAACATGATAATTTTATTGCAACGAAATACCTCAAGAATGAATGATAATAATTTTGTAACAGAAAGTTTCGCAAATCAATCACTTACATGTTTTTTCCATCGTACGATGTATTCTCAATGGTAAATTAGTAGCAGAAACAAAAATCACAGATTCGGCGCTGGTATTGAAGCAGAGTTACCGGTACCATTGCGAGTCACCTCGTGTGTATCTCAGCATTCAAATTTAACAATGTAAAAACTGAAATGAATCCCGTGTATACGGTTACGCTCATCTGTAGTTGTATTTTTCAACAAGACGTTTAATACGAAATATCTCGACCAGATGTCGCCGTGTGTACTCATTCCGTGCGAGGAATCGAACAACCTCTTAAATCTAGTGAACTCACAGTCAGTGACGCGCAACCTATCAGGTTTTCTGACGGATAATTCAAAGTTTAAATCATTTCTTCAAACGCTGTTTCATTTTTATCATCTGTTCGTATTGCACGTACTTGTAATATACGCTTGTACAAGAAACGATATATTTACATATTAAGAGTATGAAACATACTGCAAAAGAAAAATATGGATCTTTTATTATGATGAAACATTCGTCGAGTAATAATAACAATTTGTAGCAATCAGTTTTCACACTGGTAGCGATATAAAATAATTCTGATATAAACTGGCACAGTTATTGGAAATATTAACTGCAAAAGTTTTTGGGCACCACTGTTGTAGACCAAACTTGGTTCAAGTTGGTTCAGACGTGAAATTAGTTCGTGCCTTTAGTAGTACACTTTCTATACATTTTATAATTTAATTCTACAACTTTTTACTTTGTTATTCTTGATACGATAATTTTAGGCAGATACATATTACGGAAGCTGAATAAACTTTACAAAATACGACGGATAATTAGCCTGATTTTAATTTAATTTTTACGTTGCAGAAATGGTTTGAGTGAATCATCGTTGATCAGTCAAATTACGAAGTTTCGGAATGTTCGCAGGTATCATTTTTCAAGGTTCAATCACGTCAATATTGCGCAATGTACATCCGCCTATAAATTTTTCTAAATCTTGTCTATCGCTCATCTTCTTGCAGATCGACCGAATTATCCATCGTACCTTTCGTTTGAGAAATTGAGTGAGACTACGAGGCTTGGCGAGGTGAAAGGGGCCCAAGCGCCGCGGTGACGTAGAGAGATTGATAAAAAAAGACAAGGATAGAACAATGAATCGGAAGGAAGGCGAAAGAAGGAAAGGAAGAGGTGAGAAAGGTTGAAAGGAGAGAAGTCGATCGGAGTGGAAACGCGATCGCGCGCGAGGGACATCGTGAGTTAGGTGGGAAGAGTGATGTGGTAAGAGAGATAGAAGGGAGGGGCTTAACGGTAAAGCTGGTGTAACCTTATAGCACTGTTTTTCAATCCTTTTTTTTTTTCTTTTCTTTTCGTTACTACCACCCCGATGCTTCTTTTGCGGTCTCCCTGTCCTCACAATGGGGTGTTTCTTAATGTATGGGAACTGCCATAGTGATAAATAATAGAACTTGGAATCTTGGAAACAATGAAGTCCATATGAACGCGTGTCCGAGAACACATTGTCTTGGACTTTTTAATTTATCGTCCGCAGTAAAAGGGGCATTCATCGTAGGTAAAGTAGGATTTCTAAAATTGAACGTAGCCTAATTTTGGTAGTATTTTATTTTTGTTTCCTTATTTTATGATATTATCCATGGCGCCATTCTTGAGAAAAGTAAAAGAAGAAAGGAGCAATACATCATTAACAAAGCAATGATTGCTAATAGATATAATTCGGACGAGGAGAAAAATTCTACATCTTGTGAAGCTTTTTAATTACCTATGTGGTTTCATTTAATCAACAAGAATTTATCAATTAAAAAATGGAAAGTAATAATATTAATAATAATAATTTACAGTAAGTTCCAAATTTCAAAGTTTTATCGTTATTAATTTCTACACTGCTAGTTTCTTGAAAAGAAGTCAATTATAAAGAAGTGTGAGCAGTTGGAAACAGGATGCAATATACGATTTAACGTGAGAAAATATCATTTTGCACGGTGATTTGAATATTAACATACAATCATAATTGGTCGTACGCACGTTAGCTGCGCACAAGGAAGTAATTACTTCTAAATCAATCGTTACTTCTGCGGAACCAATCCACTAATACATAACTGTTATAATCGTACAGGTAAAAGTCGTTACAACTGCTTGATCACGCGTTGGCTTCACCTTGGAAACGTTGTAGATATGAATACGCACAAGTACACAGTTTTGTAAAAATACTTAGCAGCCAGACCGGTAATATTCTCGACCTCGGACAATACAGAATCAGTAAAACTTTCATAAGCTGTAGCCAATAAAGTAAAGTTCAAATTTGACAATTGCGTATCGATTGTTAAAGGTATAGGATCAAAGACACGTACATCTTAAGAACTATGAGACGTAAAGTAAGAGATTTATCTAATTTAGAATAATAATTTGATTTGCAGCAGCAGGTGTATGTTGTCCCTACTGTCGATTTTAAGGCGAAAAGTTAAGAAGAATATAGCGGAGCACCTCGTAGTAAGTTGGATGCATGGTGCATACAGCACACGGCTTCACTGTACTTTCATAATGTCGAAGGAGTACAAGAGACTCGAGGCCCGTGGCACTCGACGAACGGCTAGTGAAGGGAACGGATCGTCACACTCGGTCGTCACATTCGACCAAACGGTCAGCGAAAATGTCGTGGAAAAGTCGCGTTTAACGATCTCTGATAAAGCGTGAGCTATATTTGCGGTGAATGAACCAGAAAGTCGTGGTGATCGTCGAGTTTTATTTCCTGAACATAGTTGTTTCCTTACCCCGTATGGACAACCGAAGAAACGCCACCGATGTCGATAATATGAAGAATCGAAAAGGAAATTACGACCCAATATGGAACGCAACGAATAATTCCGGGTAGTGCGAGCAACAATTAACTGGAGTTGACTTAAATCATGGGAGGACCTTGGATCATTTGATTGGATCGCATACGGTGACTAAAAGTTTGCTCGTCGAACGAGTCTTTGAACCATATTTTGGCGCGAATTCGCCAACGACTTCGGTTCGGCTTTTGAAGGAAAGGATATTTTTCGTTTTCGAAACAAAATTGTTGTCGTCGCGGTACCACGCATCGAACAAAGAAACTTGTGAAAGTTTCCGTGGTGCGCGATAAAGTGTTCTATGGTAGCGTATACACGCATAGTTGTGGATGATCTGCGACCAAATTTAGTGCAATTTTCGATGTGAGCCCAGCATCTGTCCACAGCAGTAAACGATACACCGAGGATGGGACGAGAGGTTCATCTATTTCTTTTAGGAATCCTCGTTGTAGGCGCAAAAGGCACGTATCTTTAGGATATTTTTTTTTCACTGAATTAACAATACAAGCATACAACAGCTGAGCCAATCTATACTTACAATCGCACACTTATAATCTTTACTTGTAACCTAAGTCTCACTTGTCATTTGCGCATTGATCATTTGCTCTCTTTGAAGCTTTCATTTCTCGAAAGTTCATTGAACCGACCGATGGACCGGCACCGTGAACGAAAGAGGAGAGAAGCGTTGACGAATCCCCTTCGAAATTTCAAACTCGCCGACTCTATGATATTTTCTATCTGTTCTTGAGTTTTGTCCCTGGCACCAAGGAAAGGAATACAAACGGTACAAAACAGGTACCGCCCACTCGGTTCTCGTCCACGCGGATTTTCTGGTGTCTCGAGGTCACCCGGTGTATCCGCCTCGAATGAAACGTACAGGTTCCTACGTCGCTTCGTATTCTGTTTTCTCGAAATCCTGCGAGTTCCTTCTAGTTTCCTCTTTTTCTTTCATTTTTTCCCAAAGAAGAATATTCGTTCTCTGAAAGTATTTATTTTTAGATGACGATTATGAGAAAAACAAAAGTGGCCGGCATCCACCTTGAAACATACCTTTGGACAATAGCAGCTGCGATTCGTAAAATCAACGGACCATTTAAAAACATTCGTTGGGCAAGACAGCCGGAAACAGGACATGAATTTGCATTTGCTTTCCTGCCTGGCAAGCTCTGTTCCAATGATATTCGCATTTGAATTTCGCGCTCTGATCTTTTTCATTCCATCTCGGTCAAATTTAATTTGTCATGCAACGTAAGAACACTCGCCCGTGGAGGCAGTCAGTCGAAGCGAGTTTTGTCTTTTGTAAGACTTGGTCTCCTAGGTGACCTACATGAAACACGTAGCTAGATAATTACATCTCTAATATGCATGTGTTCACAATCCCATAATGTTACCTCGTGCGTTAATTTAAAAAAAAGAAAAGCTGCTTGCCACACACGTGTCATTAGCTTTGCACCAATAACAAGCACTTTTTCGATTTTTGCCATTCCGTTCTTCTATCCGCGAAATTCGAATTTGCACTCGAACAAATTTCAAAGATTACAGAATGATACGTTCTAAAAGCACGTAAGAAAGTATTAAGGGAAGGATTTTATTCTTGGTCAATGACGATTGCTTCAATCTCAACGTTTTCTTTTCTCGATTTACTATCATTTTGACGCGTTCGAAACAATATTATTGTTTCTAGCAACTGAAACTATAGACAAGCTGCAGAGAAGCTTTGTTAACAGTAGAACTACCACATCAGTCAAAATGACAACTTTATCATAAAATTCCTGCTTCGTGTTAAGCAATAATATATTGACTTTTGCAGCAACAACTAAAGGAATAATATAACAAATATATTTTTATTTATTGAAAATCAGAATAACTTTGTATACAACATATACCAATACCAGTCGAAATCGACTGGTATCTTGATCCGTTCGAAGCAATATTGTTTCTAGTAACTGAAAATATAGACAAGCTACAGAGCTTTGTTAACAGTAGAACTACCACACCAGTCAAAATGACAACTTTATCATAAAATTCCTGCTTCGTGTTAAGCAATGATGTATTGACTTTTGCAGCAACAACTAAAGGAATAATATAACATAACAAATATATTTTTATTTATTGAAAATCAGAATAACTTTGTATACAACATATACCAATACCAGTCGAAATCGACTGGTATCTTGATCCGTTCGAAGCAATATTGTTTCTAGCAACTGAAACTATAGACAAGCTGCAGAGAAGCAGAACTACCACACCAGTCAAAATGACAACTTTATCATAAAATTCCTGCTTCGTGTTAAGCAATGATTTATTGACTTTTGCAGCAACAACTAAAGGAATAATATAATATAACAAATTTATTTTTATTTATTGAAAATCAGAATAACTTTGTATACAACATATACCAGTACCAGTCGAAATCGACTGGTACTTAAGATAAATTAATAATACAAAAATGTACTACATGACGTGGAATTCCTTTGTGAGAAAGTAATAAATCAATAAATATAAAAATATTCTGTTACTACGTGTCTTTTTAAAGAGCAGTCATTTTGACCTGGTAGAGCTTCGTCAAGACGTCGGTGGTTCTAGTGTTAATTAAATTACTGCAAGTAAATACGGGCTTTTCGAAAACGTAGTTGGCACGTCTCTGACCGATCCAGTTGCAGGGGCTCGTGGAGATCGTTAGCGATCGAGAGAAGGAACACAGGGTAACAGTTGATCCGCGGTGAAGCGGGGCCGGTGCACCAGTGTGGCGCGTTGAAGCTCGTGCCAAGGTGGGGAAGTAAAAGCGTTCCCGAGATTCTAGGCGAACGCTTTTCTTTCCTTCTCGCGGGGAGGAAAGACGAGAAAAGAATAAAAGGAAAAGGAAGAAGGAAACGTGGATTTGCACGGTTCTAGCAAGCTGAGACCGGCGTAACATTTAGCTTTCGACGAGGTCTGGCTGGACTGAAGCATGCGAAACTCGCGGGTAGCTCCCGCTGCCGATAAACGCACCTCTTTGGGTGGGGCACCGCGCGCCGACACAGGTGAAATTTCAAGCGACAACGAACCGTTTTTTTCCTCTGTCTCGTCATCGATATGCACGACGCGTAAATATATATATATATATATATTTTTATTGTAACTCTCTATACACTAATTACGCAATCGAAATGCCAATCGTCAAACGCGTGTAGAAATTTTGAATTGTTTCGCACAGGCGTGCGAAGAACGTTGAAACGGTAATAGGAAAGTACCAAGAGTGTCGTAGCGAGGTTTCTCGTTTCCTGACGCGTTGCGAGATGTCGCAAGTCACCGGAGTCGATCGCGACGAACATGTACCGCCACAATAGATTGGGAAACTCGCGAAAACGAAACAAAACAAAAAAAGAAAAAAAGACACTTTCTATCGTTACGAACCGATGGAACGAGCAGCCGACGCTTTCTTATGACCAACACCGGTCGGCTTCAAATTAAGGAGCTCGAGGTGGTACGAATTTGGTGGCCGGCTCGCCATCTGTTCTCTCCAGTAGATGGTTTCTTTGTAGAACCAAATAACCACGTCGACCGGTTCTCGGGATGCCCTACTGACGCCCTCCAGGCGGTTGTAAAATTCGCTCTCGGCGGGTCCCGTTTACGTAAACGCAATAACACGTAACATCCTTTGCCTTTCTTCTCGATCGCGTCACGATCGAGTCGCCAGATAAATAACGCGTTATCGGTTTCGTTGTATTTCGAATTTAGATGTCTACTTAGATGCCTAGCATCCAGAGGATTCTCGATCGTCCATTGTCAGGAATGTAAATCGAGAGACTTGAAGATTTGAATCACGTTCGTCTCTAAATAACCGATCGATCTCTTTCGTTTTTTTCTTTTTCTTTTTTGCGAGATTCTTGGCAAACAGGCTACTTTCCAATTCCTTGACAATCGTTTTTATATACGGTTGAAACTTGTATTCGTGTATTTCGACGTGATCGTTACTTGAAATCGTTCATTTCTTTCTCGAGAACTAGTAAAAAAAAATAACGAGCGCGAGCACTTTACGTATGAATTAAAATCGACGTCAATGACATTATGAAGCAAAACGGGAGAAAAGTAGTAGTTTCATTCTTCGAAATCGCAGTCGAGAAAAAAAAGAAAAAAAAGAACGGAGGGAAAAAGTGATTTACGAAAAGGAAATCCGTCGAGCTGTATTTTCAGTGAAATGATTCGAGTCATTTTAGGGGAGATAAATAAAAATGGCGATGAGGCAAGAACTGTACCGTGACACGCTTCGCCGTCGTAGTATAGTCCCGATTCGAAGTAGCTCCCCGATGTCGTACCGTTATTTCGGCTTCAAAGTTTTGTAACCGCGTGACCCAGACCCACGAAGCGATCAGCGAATGCCAAACACCAGACTAAAAAGCTAGCGACGTCGCTGTGTTTACACGTACACGCACGCAGGCAATTAACCGGGGAATTCTTCGGCACCTCGAGATCTGAATTGAGCACCACTTTTTCGTGGAACCCCTCCACTCAACGGAGGGCTCTACGTCCCGGAAAGATTTAAGTAAATATACATTCGAACGGAAAAAGAAAAAAAGAAAAAAAAAATAGTTGAATCAAATGGACACTTGAAACGCAGGAGAAATTAATTAAAGAGAAACGATGCGATCATTCACGTTGGAAATTCGATGACCTTTATCGTGGCGAGTATTCCTCCGTGACTAATTAAGAAGTTTAGGTTCAAGTGTCGGGGTGAAATGAGGTTTAATTAGATAGAAAGTGAGCAATGAAAGAAGCGGTTCAACAGACGTACATAAATCGAAATAATCGCGCGTGCGCGAGCGCGTTTGTTGCTCGCTTTAATTAACTCGTTCGCACGGAGCGGTAAACTCGGTGTCTCGTGAGAAACGCTCCGGAGAGTTCGAATCGAACGGAGAAGACAACGCTGGCTTTCACCCGGCGGATCGAGCACACGCGAGGATTCAAATTTAAATTGACGTATTCCCGCGCACACACAAGTACACAACACACGCACATGAACGTTCGCGATTGTAAAGAATTAGGAAAAGGCAAAAAAGCGAGATGATTGCAAATTAGAATCGTCAAGATACTCCTTCCATTCGAAGATCTAAGGCCATCACTCGCGATCGGCCTTGAAATATCGCCGGAAACTTATTCCGCGAGTCGCACGACTGCGCTCCTCTAATCACTTTTTATGATTGTATCGCTCGTACACGCGAGAACGGTGTGCGTGAGGTTTACATTATCCTTGTCTATTTCCATCTTGATATTTCTTGCATTTTCGCTGGCGTCGGTGTTGCAACGATCAGGCGACTTATTTAACCGTCGCGAATACGCATCTGTTTATATATTGCAGCACTTACGTGTTTATATCGCGATTCTTCTATGTTCTGGAATCTTGTTTCTATCTTCGATTAGTTTTCGTCTTCGTACTTCAACGCACTTGCACGTAAAACGCAAAAATATATGTACTGTATGCTCAATCATTAATTTGCACAGTGCTTATTTTCATATGGGAAGAGAAGAAACGTGGAAAGTATAAAGTAGACATTTCCTTTGGATACGGGCGAGTTTAGTCGTTTCTACCTTCACGAGAGTATTTTATGGCGGGTTATAAGGTACATATATACACATACGCTCACATAGATATATATATATGTACGTGTCGATTTCCATCAACTTTCAACCGTTAGATTTTTCATTGCAAGGAAACGTTTCTCAAGCTACATACCGATACGTGTACCTCCCATTTCGAGCTGTCCATAACCTTACCGCGTTGTACGTTCGTCCTACTATTTTTTTTGCACCTTTTATAGACAGGTAGAAAATCTTTCGTGTAATTCCCCGGCTCATAGAATTCGGATAATGAGGCACGCGTGGGATTTTAATCAAGATTTCTCTTTGCCTCGTGTCATAGCCATTGTTTCAGTGTATTTTGAAAGTAACGCATGGGGATGCGACACTTGCGTCCTTGACACGTCCTTATTCCACATTCCATGTTGATAACAAGTACGTGTTACGTAGCAAACGTTACATCGTCGAATTAATACTGGACTCAAGGTAGCCAACCTATCAACCTGTCAAAGTAGTCAAAATGACCAATTTGTAATTTCCTATGGAAATTTTATACATTTACGATACAGTGTATTTTTAGATACTCGAGTGATTTTTGATAAAATATATTAATATTAAAAGCTTGTGTCCTTTGTTGTATTATTAATTTTGTTTTGTACCTTGCATTTCAATTTTCTTTGCTATAATATACTTTAAATTATTATAATATTATAAATTATAATAATAAAATATACTGTAGATTATAACATATATTAATGTAATCAGTATAGTATACAATTAAGTATAGTTTGTTGGTAGTTGTAGTGGACAGTAAATTAGAGTTGTACGTAGAGTTCACTATAGAAACTATGAGAGCTCTTCGTCGATGAAGATCTTCGACAGAGTGTTTTCTTTTAAATATAAAGGTTGAAAGTGACGAGGACTGCAATTTCATTCGAAATGTAATTACCGGAGATCTATTTTCTTTAGAAGTTACGCCGTCTACCGTAAATAATACCATAGAAATTAAAACTCCGATCCTACTCGCTTAAAACTGTCAACTTTCAATGAAACATTGAATATAAACATTAAAACACCACTACACCGAATTTATCTTCGTCGGGATTGTCGAGCGCCATCTTCAAGACATTACAATTGAACTGTGTAATTTTCTTGAACGCAGGATTGAAGTGCGGGCATCCGGCTGTACCGATGAACGCCAAAGTGTCATTGTCCGATGAATCTTTAGCAACAGGCACTTTGGCAACGTACACTTGCGATGCCGGATACGAATTGTTCGGGTAAGTAACGCTTCAAAAGAATGTAGTACTCGTACACGTTGAACGCTGAGCATCATAACTCTAGAGCAGCGGCTCTCAATCTATAGTGGGGGGTGAAAATAATATTGATAATGGCAAAAAACGGCAAAAAAAGAAGTTGGAATAAAAACACAAAAACAAAGAGTTTTATAGAGTTTTGATTTACAAAGTGCGACTTATGTAAAAGTTTTTGAGTGGAGGGGATACTCATAAATGAAAAGCCTAATTAAAGGATACGGGAGAGAAAAAAAGGGAACCGCTGCTCTAGAGTAATTTGTTAGAGAAAAGTAAACATAGTGTCAAACTAAATCATAGCTAAACGAAACTAGGAGAAAGTTAATTAAAATTGTCGTCGGATGACACCAGAGTCTGTCATTTTATTCGATATACATAAATAAACGTGGTCGAGCGAAACCACTGTGTTTCTATAGTGTCTCTCCGCATGCATAAGTACCATTTCCGTCAATAGCACCATTCATTACGAACTTTCTCCGTTTTCTTATAATTCGTATGGTTGACGATATTTGCTCGCGTGCTCGCGCTCCCGTTTCTCGTCGTGCATTGTTTGCAACGAAATAGAAAATTTCGATCGTTTCATTCGACTATTGTTTGCTCAGCAGCGGCAGTTTGACATGCAACGCTCGCGGAAAATGGCAAGGGGATCTACCGTTCTGTGGTAAGCATTCGTTTGATATCTGCTTTCATTTGGAATCTTTCTCATCCAAAGTTTTTCGTCCCACACGCCACACGTTTCTCTTGACAGTAAGATCATACCGAAAGCTTTCTCTTCAGATATAAGCACGTACGTACAAATCTATATCCAACGAAGAATCGGTCGCACCGATCGATCGAAGAAATTGAACTATGTCCCTTTAAAATGCAGCGCGCAGGTATTGGTCTACCGAGCAGGTACGGTAGAAAGTGATTTTTCGTATGCCGCGAGGTAACCTCGTTAAAATGCACCGACCCTTGGTCCGGACTTATGTATTATGGTCTCGCTTTTTTCCGTTCCGTTGCGAACGTTTCACTTTTACCCGCAAGATTCGCCGCCGACGAAAAGAAAGTTCGACAAAGGACGACAAAAACGTGCACCGGCGGAACGTTACGCAACCGGAGTATTTACAATTCGACGACAGTCGATAGACGACGAAAGACTGCAACTGCCGATTAACTAGCGTCGTCTGCAGATTGTTTTGACCAATGAGAATGCGGAAAAGCGAACGAAGCCGGAAGATTCCGAAACACCGAGTAACCACCTACCTGCAACTTGGTGAAACTACTTGCGACGCTAGATAATCGTCTCTCTTTTTATTACTAAATGCATCCTGCCGGTAACGGACGTTTTGTTACACGGTCGTGATTGGCAACACCTTTCTTCGGGTTTGTTCGGTTCCAAGCAGTTTAACTCCGCGCCGATTTGCCTCGAAACGCTCTTCCCGGATCTATTAATTCTTTCCCTCCCCTCTTTTTGGTTTTCTTTCCTTCTTCGGGCGTCTTTCTTTTTATCTTTGGTTAGTTTCCTCGAGCTTGGTGAAAAAACTCGCGTTATTACAGGGACAAACGTCGCTTTTCGCAAACCGACGAACCAATCGACCACCGTGCGAGGCGGAGATGCCGGCCACGGAAACGACGGAGATTCGAGCACGGAGCACGATGGGAAGAGGTGCACGGAGACTCAGAGCGAGCCTAGCCCTTGGTGGAAGGTCGACCTTCTCAAGTCGTATTCGGTAAAAGTGGTCCGAGTGACGACCAGAGGTTGCTGCGGTAAATTTTTCTCCTCACTTCTCGCGTATTTTTACTTTCATCGTAGACTAATGTAGAGTAGTATAGAAAGTAGAATGAAATGGGCATCGTTTTGCGTTCTAATGAAATTTAAAAATTCTCTAATAAATCGAAGCTGATACTTTCGTTTTTCGAGCAGATTGCGTATGTAGGTAACTTTCTTTCGAAGAAAAGAGAAACGATCCTTTGTTCAACGATTTTAGTCGGCCGTTTCGACATTGAGTGATCGAAAGTGGCAATGATTCTCGTTGTCGACAGGTCATCAACCCCTTCAGGACATTGAAATACGCGTGGGTAACAGTAGCGTGGAATTGCAGCGCAACCCTTTGTGCGCTTGGTTCCCTGGCACCATTGGTGAGCAATTTTGGCAGTTTATCAACCCTTTGCATCTTACAACAACTCTGACTTTTTTTGGCTTCTCATCCATATCTAGTAAATTATTTATTATTTAAAATAGAAATTTTTACTGTGCGTAATATCTCTTTTATCTTCTTATTACTGGAATCACTAAATTGGAATCTTTTTGCTTTTTTACGTTGGTAGAATAATGTCACTATCGTCAGAATCAATGCTTGATCACAAGTCTCAGAACAAGCACTGTCTAAATTATTTTTATATCAAAAACAAATTCGTTGTCGCTACTACCTTGAAATAATTATGTTTTATAAAATATAATATAATGAAATAAAATATATTGAAAATAAATTGATAAAAATATTTTTTAATTCAGATTTATTCAATCCGAGGAGCGTGATTGAATAAAATTTATTAACAATATTTTTATATTCCCTCCCATCACAACATGAAATATTGTCTATACCTGAGAGGAGTACTTGAAGTGCAAAGGGTTAAGATACACTCTCCTGAGTCGTGATTTTACAGTCAATCGATTAATTTTTCATAGAGGAAGGAATCACGAAGACATTCGTGTGCGCCAGAGCTCTGATCGGACAGTATGTGTTTCTGCAGCTTGTCGGAGTCGAAGGAAGCCTGAGTTTGTGCGAGGTGGAAGTGTTCGCCGTGGACGGTAAGTCAGATGATCGAAAGAGCAAACTTCTGTCGGCAGCCTATCCAATGAAATTCCTGTAGGAGAGTTCTTCCTGTTTTCATTCTTTTCGCAGAGTTTTCAACGGACAGGTGCGCGTACAGCGGAACGCCGGCTGACGCCGACTTGGCCGCCTTCAACTCCACCTGTTACGAATTCGTCGTGAAGAAGGGCGATTCTTTCCAAGAGGCCAGGAATTACTGTCGCGCGAGAGGCGGCGATCTCGTGCACGGCTTTCAGGTCTCTGCAGCAACGGTTCTTTCGTTTAATTTTTGAACATGTTCCAAAGCATGCGTGGCCTCTATTGTAACATTCGTGATGTCTTCGTATGTCTACACAGGGTGCAGCTTCGGTGTACATATTGAACAATCTGGAGAGGCGTAAAGACAAACTGAAGACGCAACTGGTTTGGATAGGCACTCAAAAGGAACCACTGATAACAGCGAGGACATGGCGATGGGTCGACGGTGAATATCTTGTTCCTCAGTCGCTTCCACTCGTGTTCCAGTCTCATTTGCTCGTTGACTACAGTCAAAACGGTTTTTTTTCCCTTCTCACGATTTATCGGTAACGTTCATGGGAACCGGGTCGGCAAGACACAGGGTTGGGCAAGATTCGCTGGTTAGATTCGTCGAGCCGAACCAATCAATTTACCTCGTGATTACGCGATAATTATAGTTCCGCCGATCGGTTGAATTCGTTAATCGGAAATTCGTCCCCCGACGAGCGGGTTATCCTGATCTACGAAATCAACGATCGTCTCGACACGGCCGACCGTCGTAACGGCGTAATAACAGGCGCTAATAAATAGAACGTGAAAGTTACGACTGTGAGGAAATCAACGGAAGTTACACCCGTGAGCGTCTGTTCGAACGTTATAATCTCTGTTAATTGTTTGTTGCGTCTGGATCGAAGCAGACGGAACGTTTTGCTTTGAATGCTAATAGCTCCTGCTGGTGGAGGTGAACGACCTTGTTGAATTGACGCTTTTCAAGAAACGAGTTCCCTTTTCATGTTGTTTTTGTGTTGTTTACCACCAGGCGAGATTGTGCAAAAACCATCCTGGGGAAAGGATCAGCCAAATAATTACAACGGCGAGCAAAATTGCGTGGTGTTGGACGGTGGCCGTAGCTGGCTGTGGAACGACGTTGGCTGCAACCTTGACTATCTGCATTGGATATGTCAAAGCAGTGAGTAGCGATCGATACGCGTGTGTATAATCAGCTGTGTGATAAATCTGCTCGAACTGTTGAACTGTTTAGGACCACCTACTTGCGGCAGTCCGGAAAAATCCGAGAACACAACGATTACGGGGACCAAACGAACCATAGGATCTACGATAGATTACGTTTGTCCCGATGGATACATGTTGATAGGGTCGAAGAGCAGAACGTGCGAGTCCAGCGGATTTTGGAGCGGCGAGCCGGCCACGTGCAAGTGTAAGTTTTAATCGCATGCGCGTCGGCTACGCGAGCTGTCTGTATAATTGCTCGGACAATGACGATGCATGTGTGTAGTTGGTAATCGGTAACCGTCTCGCGCATACTGAAAGCCGTCTTTTAAACGCTTGCAGTTGTCGACTGCGGCCCTCTGCCTGATCTGGAGAACGGTGTGATTACCCTGGTCGATAAGAGAACGACTTACGGAGCGTTTGCTGATTACGCGTGCAAGGAAAACTACACGTTGCTCGGTGACGTTAGGCGAAGATGCGGGGACGGCGGTATTTGGAGTGGACATCATTCCCAGTGTTTATGTGCGAGATTTCTACATAATTCTACGTAGCGATGTTTCTGTATAATTTCTATAAAATATTACAGAAAGTAGAAAATCTATGTAATTTCTATAAAATATTATAATATAGTTTTTATAAAATATTGTTTGTTATTTTACAGTCGACTGGTGTCCAGAGCCACCTCAAATTAACGGTGGAGTTGTGGCGACTACCGGAAGGAGAGCAGGCTCGACAGCCAGTTACTCCTGTCAAAATGGCTTCATTCTGTTCGGAGACAACGTAAGCAACTTTCCTCCCATTCGTTATGCTCGGTTCGTAAAACTGTTTCGAATCTAAATTCTATTTATGTAAGTAGTGCATCTTTCGCCGCGGTACTGTTCGTACAAGTCGATGAATGATTTGCGCAATCTTATGTTATATATATTGAGCGATTACGTTGCGAGGAGAACGGAATATTAAACATTGATAATCAATTTCGAAAGGTTCTTACGTGCGACGTCGGCGGAGAATGGTCGGGCAAAGCGCCTCAGTGCAGATTCGTCGATTGCGGAGCACCGGCTCAAATTGAATTCGGTTCGGTGACCCTAATTAATGGCACCACCACGGTTAAAAGTTTGGCCGTGTACACTTGCCTGGAGGACTACTGGCTGGTCGGCGAAGCGAGGCAAGAATGTACCAAGGAAGGAAAATGGAGCAACGATACGCCGTCGTGCGAATGTAAACAGATTAAATTCTTTCTCAGAGAAATGATGAACGGTGTACGAACTGTGTGTAACGGCTGATTATTTCGATTGATGCAGTAATCACCTGCGAGGAGCCAGAGGTACCGGCTGGAAGCTACGTCGTCGGATACGACTTGAACGTTCACAGTGCCATTGAGTACCACTGCGAAGCAGGATACCTACTTCAAGGCGAAAGTAGACACACTTGCGGCAGGGACGGTGAATGGTCGGGAGAAGTGCCCACCTGCGAGTGTGAGTTTCCTTGTTATTAAAGTCATTAGAAATTTATCTGTTTCTTTCGGATTAATTTATCGCGACACGACGGTAACCTTCTCGTCTTTCTATCCCGCAGACGTGGACTGCGGGAAAGTTCTGCCCGTGTTGAACGGAGCGGCAGAATACGTGAATGGAACGACGCATCTCGGAAGCGAAATCACTTACAGTTGTACGAGAAACTATAGGCTAAATGGAGTATCGAGAAGATACTGCTTGGACAATGGTCAATGGAGCGACGCGACTCCAAAGTGCGAAGGTGCGTTTTCTTTTAAATCAAATATTTACGATCTAGTTTTTTTTCACATTTGAACTTTCCTTTCCTCAGAAATTCGATGTCCGGAACCTATTTACGCAGAGCACGGAATCCTCTCCGTGACTGGCAACGATCGAATGTACGGTAGAACTCTTATCCGGACAGGAACGCCGGAGAATTCTAATACCGGGGCGACTTCCTACAAGATAGGTGCACTTGCGAAATATCGTTGTGAAAGGGGATACAAGGTTGTCGGCGAACCTCTATCCACTTGCGAGGACAACGGAAAATGGAGCGGCGAGGTTCCACGATGCGTCTGTAAGAAACAAAGAAAATTCTAGTACTTAAACGATTGCAGGGTATTTGATCTGAGTGAGTTCATCTTTCAGATGTCGATTGCGGAAAACCGGAACACATTCAACATGGAAAATACACTCTAACGTCGAACGCAACTTATTACGGAGCAGCTGCTCTTTACGAGTGTGACAATAATTTTGAATTGGACGGATTTGCCAGAAGACTGTGTCTCGAGAATGGTACATGGAGCAGCGATACTCCAGTCTGCAAAGGTAATTGTCAAGATTAGAATTTAATTTTAAATTAGAAAGGTCGTCTCATAGAAAGTTGTTAGCATTGTACGAGATAATTGTTCTATAGTAAGAAATATGTTGCATGTGATTGCGTTATGAGAGTGATAGTAATTTTTATCAAGAAACTTTGCATTCATCTTTTAAAACGCTGTGTAACTTTATACTTTCTTTGTATTATATCCATTTGTTTATACACAGAAATTAGATGCAAGAATCCTGAGAAAGATGGAGTGTTATCTACGCAAGTTTCAACTCACAGCGTGGGTGGAGTGGCTCACTATAGTTGCCCGCGTGGATTCTACATGGAAGGGAACGAAACTAGAGTATGTTTGCAAAATGGATCCTGGAGTGGTAGCACGCCAGCTTGTTTCTGTAATTATGCAACTTTGATAAATAACTTTAATTTATGGCCAGTTTAAAGTACGAAATCGCGAAATTTCCATTTATATTTAATAGCGGTCGATTGCAAACATCCAGAAGCTATAGAAAATGGTAGAGTGATAGTGGTAAATGGAACCACTACTTACGGAGGAACCGCAGAATATCATTGTCTACCGCAATACGAAAGAGTGGGACCGTTTTTGAGGAAATGTTTAGACACTGGTTTATGGAGCGGAGAGGAACCTAAATGCGAGTGTAAGACAACCGTGAATAGTACATGCTAAAAATACATTCAACAGATTTTCATCAATTAATGTGTTACTCAACAGTTGCGCCGAATGAAGTAGCAGAAGCGCAGGGCGTAGGTACCAGCGTTGGCATTGGAGCTGGAGTTATAATATTTATACTGATCATTCTTGGACTCGTGTATCTAAGATTGTAAGAGTGTAAAATTTACGAAAACATTCGTGAAAGTTAATTATTAAATAAAAGTTTCAAAAACTTTTTAGGAGAAAAGCTACGCCCGTGAAGAACACCGAAAACGTTCAAGCAGCTGAAAGAAAAGAAGACCAAAACGCTGCTGTTATGTCTTATGCCACTCTTAACGATGGCACACCTAACACTATGTACGAAAACGTTCCAGAGGATGGTCTTTACGATAGTCCTTACAGCCTAAGTGACAGCACTTACGGGTAAGTGAAAAGAAGCGATCCTTTTAAGAATTTTGTCTCGTCGTGAAGAACGAAATTGGTAAATTGTCTTATCGAATTGAAGGTATGGCACTAATATGAGAAGACATTATGGTAGATCGGGACATTACGAGGCGGAACCAGTTTCAAACAGAAACGGCATTACAATTAACGGAGTGTCTGTACGATAGTTGAAGATACAATCGCTAGAATTTGTGTTCTTTAAAGTCAGATTTATTATTTATGTACAGGAGTATATAAGTTTAAGCGAAGCTTTGTTATCCTTATTTATGTTATTGTATTCGGCGCATCGCCGATGTATGTAAATAAGTAAAGAGGAAATGCGTGATAATGAAGTGTCTACGAGAAAGTTGCGTCAATCTTCTTCATACCAATGACGGCGTATAACGAACATTAATTACATACTATCACTTTGACAATTCAATCCGTGTACTATTATGTATATAGCGTGTTTTTCTAATTGAGAATTATCTGTAAGTTTCAAGTGACGAATTTATAACATTAAATTCGTATGCTCATTGGTTATGAAAATAAAGAAACCAATGCTCTTGTTTTATTTTATATTTTATTATATTTTTACAAGAACCATCGAAAATATAGTTAACACTTTCGCTTTTGTTAACACCTTCTATACAGATTAATGTGTTTGTACTGTGCAACTTTATTTATCACATATATTGTAAATACAATTACGAAATGAATGTCAATTATATCGGATTCTTTCATCGCCTTATAAGGCAATGATTTCTCCATCAACAGTTTACTCCAAGTAGGGTATCTGTAATGACGTGCATATCCTTTCGAAGATAAATCGATATATTTCGTAATATAATATAATATAAAATCCAATTTTTACTCTACAATACTAATTTATTATTACATTATTTAAGTAAGTTAATTTTTTAAATGTTAGTAAAATTTCAAAATCAATGAAGTTTCAAAATGAGATCATCATCAAGCTAACAGGTATTTTTTGAAATTTAAAATAATAATGTTGAAAGTGTATACGAAAGAAAAATCGATCGCTCTATTTTATTTTTTCTTGTTACAATGTGGCCTAAATTTTGGATATGCCTAGAAAAGGCTAGTGCAATGGATAAATGATCCTTCACCAGATGGCGCTACGTGCTCGGGTGTGGTGAATAACCATAGAGTGACGCGTAACGTGAGTCACAGTTGTGCACGAGTGTCTGTGCCGTACGTTATTTGGCATTTTCTTCTCAGTTCGAAGCTGCTATTAATCAGGTTGGTAGAAATTCATTCATTTACTTTAACGTTCCGATAGAAAAATCTCGTAATGGTTATGGGGACAATTTGAGAGGTACTAAATATTTGACAGCGATTCCAGTTTACCTATGAGAACGGCCATTGTTATTGTATCGTCGCTTCGTATGATGTGCAAATGATGCACATTCCTTGTCAATCTGTGGAATTTTGTAAAACGACTTTTCCTTTGTTGTTGAAAAGCAACATATTTTTTTATATAATCGTATGAGAGTTGAGATTGATGAAATATTATAAGTGTTTCAACTATATTCGATAAATGTTTATCAAAATTTAATCTGTTCGTATAAAAATTCCGAAACTAAATGTTGAGATTGATGTTTCATTAAAAAAAAAAAAACTTGTAAAAGTAACGCCTGAAAACGTAAGATGTAATATTATTTTTACAAGTAACAAATAAGTAACTATTTTGAAAAATATATATTTTTTATTAAAGTATTGTTTAAAATACATATTGGACTGTATGTCGGATAAGTATTTTTATATAGATTTTTATATAGATGTAAAGTATAATGTCCTCTTTATTGAGTCCTCACGGAGACGATCTTATTTTTATCTTGATTTTCGTTACGTCGTGATATCCTAAATTAATTGTCTAAAAATAAATAGTAGACTGTCTTTTAAGTACGTCCAATGGCTATTATTTTTTTTCTGGACACTGTTCTAGTTCAACGCGAAAAAATAGCAATCAAATTTACATAACCTCTATTTTATTTACGTGTGAAACGTCCCTATGAATTAAAAGTTTTATATAAAAAAAAAAAAAAAGAAAAAAATACAACAAATAATAATAAATACATACTTACAAAAGATACGATTTAAGCGTTGTAATTAATTGATTCATTCGTAATTTCAGGAATACAAACATGTCTTCGCGCAAAACAGCCGGACGCCGTGCGACAACTAAAAAGCGTGCACAACGCGCAACATCAAACGTTTTCGCGATGTTTGATCAAGCTCAGATCGCTGAGTTTAAAGAAGCTTTCAACATGATCGACCAAAATCACGACGGTTTCATTGATAAGGAAGATCTTCACGACATGCTTGCCTCACTGGGTAAGATAGTGAAACTTTACTTATCGCATTATGGGGATTTTTTAAATTTTACGCGCGCCTACAGAGTAATTGATTTTTGTTTTAGGTAAAAACCCGACTGACGAATATTTGGAGGCAATGATGAACGAGGCTCCAGGACCCATCAATTTCACGATGTTTTTAACTTTATTTGGCGAAAGGCTTCAAGGCACCGATCCGGAGGATGTGATTAAAAACGCCTTCGGCTGCTTCGACGAAGAAAATACTGGACACATAAACGAGGAACGTCTGCGCGAATTACTTACGACAATGGGAGACAGGTAATTTACACCAATTTTACATATTAATATTCTTTATTACTTTATGGAAATGTACAAGCAACTCATCATTACCTTCTTGCACATCTAGATTTACGGATGACGATGTGGACGAAATGTATCGGGAAGCACCCATCAAAGGATCGATGTTCGACTACATAGAGTTCACGCGAATTTTAAAGCACGGTGCTAAAGACAAGGACGAACAATGAATTTATGACCGCCCGTTTCTTCTGTTTGCGTAATTGAGGCGTGCTACACGCCTCAATATGGTTGCAACTGTAAAGTTTGAAATATCACTTGTATTTTGTATATCCTCTATTAATGAGAATAACCGAAAATGTAGGATTTATATTATTTTTCTGAACAACTGCCTTACCTCTAGGTCCTAAATGTACAAGCCAACAGAGCCATGTAGGCATTCGCAATATTTATTTGAAACTAAAAAATGTTTACGTACAAACTACGGATAGAGGAAAGTTTAATTCACATTGTAATTACAAATTACAATCGACAAAAAGAAAAATCTCAATATGATGTAATATATATATATTGTATATTATATTAACATATAGTTGTTAAAGAGTTGGCATTTATATTTTAATATAATAATGAATTATACACCAAATACATTCTACTTGATTGTCACATCCAGCGTGAATGAAAATCAACGTTCGATATTTAAGATATTGTAACCGTGATCCACTGCTGTCTGTTGCCACTAGTAAATGAGATAGGAAAAAATAAACATTGACAAACTATCTGGCCCTTGTTCGAATTGACGCGATACGAAGTGCTTTGAAAGTTCAATAAACCTTGTATCTCTGCAACGAATAAATAACAGATCAAAATGTTGATGAAATAAAACAAAAAACCCGCATCGATGTACTCGGTAGGAAAGCGTAAGAAGAAAAGGTAGAATCGACGAAGGGAATTTCGGTAGCTGACAGGCGCGATTATTCTGCGTCTGCGCGCTAGTGTTTATGTACAGTATATACAGAATGAAGTCTCGCGAAGCCGCAGTATCATTTCCAGTGGTGCGAGTGTGGGGTTCGTTTCGTCTCTTGTTCGTTCCTGTCGTTCGCGGTGGTTCTCCCTGTCGCGTCTCTGGCTCGGTGGTTGTTCCATTCGAGTATAAATACCCATTGATTGAACCTGCATGGATACCCGTGACTAACGAAGTGTTCAACGAAGCTGTTCATCGGCTTTCGCCGATCTCCCCGCAAAGAGGACCGAATTTTTGATCGTTCCGATCGGCGGAATGTCGCTCGATCATTCGCTGGTCGTATAACACGATGTGTTTACTGTTTCGGTGAACGTTCGGTGAGCCCCCTCGGTTGGCGTATCCTGTAGCTGGCTGTATCCCGAGCGTGAGTGAACGTCTTAAAATCGAAGCGCGACTCGGGGAAGAGAGATGAGACGGGAGACAGAAGCAGAAGCTGAGGCTGCCAGTCGCGAATTGGGTTACGTCCCGTTCGCCTGGCAACGATATATGACGCAACGGCCACCCTTCGTTGGTATCCGCGATCCTCGTGATCTTTACGTGCCGCTTTAACTGCAACACAGGACTTTGGTGTCGCCGGAGAGTGTGGCGAAGCACGCGAAAACGAAAACGCCAACTACGCTCCATGCGACCAGTTATCCCCGCCCCGTTTGCTCGATTGCGCAGCTAGTTTTGGAGGTTAGCCGATCACGATTAAGAAACTTGAACGAAAGCGACACCCGCAGAGCCAGCCGGATCAGCTGTTTCCCCAGGACGACCTTTCGACTACCCTCTCGGTGAGTCTGTTCTCTCAGCTCGAATCGGGGTTCTATCGCATCCGTCACCATCCCGTTCTGACCCTCGAGCAATTATTTTTTCGTTCGTTTCGCTTCTCGTCGGTCTCGCGAGTTACCCCGATATATTTTTAATGGCGATGAACATAGAACGACGTACATACGTACACATACGTAGTTCCTTTTCTTTCTCTCTATTGTACGTTGCAATTTTCCTGTTTCGGCGTATATTTGAAGCAGAACTTAATAATTTCTAAATTAATAATGGACTGATGATCAACGACGTCGTAGCAAATATGCGTATCCAGCAACACGATCGCCGATGGGGAGATTGTCAAAAGGAAAAAGAAGTTGCTGTCGTTCGCGCGTCTCGTTGTAAGTGGCCTCTTTATTTTTGAAACGATAATTACTAAAGGACGACCATGCTCAATGGCATTCGTTCATGGCTGGGAACCTTGGTCTCTCTCGGCGCTAAAGTACCGTGGCTCGAGAACGCGATTCAGAAACGCAAACGGCGCGGCGAGGTTTTCTTGAACCACGTATAACAAGATAATAATAAGTATACAACCGCTGCATGTACTCGTGGTGTGTAATACGACCCAATGCTCAAACTGGTCGTGTCACTTTTGATGTTGCATAACGGGCTCGTACGACTGCGTTAGAATATTAATATACAAAAGCGTAACGAGTCTTGAAATTAAAACGGATTCGATTCGATACGCCGTTTCGGCGACGAACTTTCACAGGCTGATTTTCAACAGTGAAGTTCTCAAATTTACAAACGATCGTCGTGATTCTTCAGTCGTTCGGTGAAAAAAAAAAACGATTCTTCTAAACGACGATTTAATATAAAAAGTGGAAAGATTATCGACGTTGCTTCACGAGGCAAATTCGAGGCGAAATTTTTTTAACACGCGCAATAAAAATACCCCGTGTGTGCGCAGAGCTGCGAAATGCAGCCATGGAAATTATGATTTTTGTATGTACCCGGCTATCTATCGGCAAATTAGGTTTCTGTCGAAGCGGTATATTGTCAGGCTAATTGCACACGAGCCAGGGACGTTTCTAATATGTAGCTACGCTTTCAAACAGGTTGTTCCAGATACCGATAGCGTAATACGTTAAATCTGTTAGGCGATTTCGTGTTCTGCGTCGCGAATCCTCGTTTTTTTTCGTGTCACGTTGCTCTCCTACAGTGGACACCTAACGCCAACATCTGTTCGATACTGCTAATAGCTTTACAACAAAATTGATCACCTTGTTGCGTAACGTTCTTTGAGGTTTGCCCGACCAGAAGATAACCCAATTCGTTGTGCCTAATACTCTGTAGAATAATACACTGTTTGAGAATGTACGTACGTGATTATACGTTCGACATTGCGAATTAAAAAGCGGAAACGTCGAGACGCCTAGCCAGCGACGTTGATCGCAGAAATGCAAACGTTCAGAATCCTCTTTTGGTGTTTGTCAGATCATGCCGATACACGAAACCTTACACGATGCAACGTCACGTTCCCAGCGATATCGGTGCAATTCTTTCGACAGCCGCGATTATTATGAAATGACCAAGGTATTTCGATTGTAATAAATGTGACGTTCGAATACGTATTATCTGTAGAGTCTGGATGGAGGGTTGATTCTTTCGATACTTAAATGCCACACGATGGCGCGAGGTGACGAGGGAAATGAAAGAAAATATTCCACAAATATTACGATCCAGAGCAGTGGTTCTCAACCTTTCTTTTTGGCACCTCTAAAATCCTATACCGCCTGACGCATAATTCTTATCATTCAAAAAAGTGAATCTTTGAGGAAGCCTAAAAAGACCCATTAATTTCAAGGTTCTAAAAAACATGACACCCGTGAAAAGAAAATTAGAAAGTCAAATTTTCATTTAAAGAAATCGCAAAAAATTCGATGTTAATTAATCAAGTCAAACGACAGATCCAAAGCCTAGAGGATAAAGGAAGCAGGACGAAGAAAAGAAAGACAAAATGATCAAGGTATTTCGATATTCACAAATATTGCCTACAGAGTACTGGAGTAGAAAAAGCAGTGGACTGATTCATTTTGATACTCAGAAGTGCCACAGCCTCGAGGTGGCGGGAAAAAAGAAAGGGAAGAGTGGCGCGCGTTGATCGCCTGGGTGTGGATAGAATTATTATCGAATAGGAACAATTGTATGCGTCAACTGCGCCCAGGTTACACGTGAACAAACAACCGACAATCACTCGTTCAACATTCTCGTTTGATCGCAAGTCCAAACGTGCTGGGAGATGAACGGCAAATAGAATGCCAGCCGATGTGTTCTGTATCGGTAGTCATCGATCCACGAGACGTGTCATGACGTTATCCGTGAAAGTACGAGTCTCTCAAGTGGCTCGTATTTACCGGTGACGATTTTTCGATTCGTGCGGAACAATCGTCGAGAATCGGCCAGATGTCGCGCGTTACCTACCCCCTCCTCGTTAAACGATCGTTTATCGCGTTTATCGCGAGAGCTGCTGGCTCGTTCGCGTCCGATCTAGATCACCGGCTAGAAGTTTACACGATGATTTGAACGGCACTTTTACACGGTTGTTTCCGGTGAAACTGTACGAAACGCGATTAGACGATCGTACGGCTCTCTGTTTTATTCCCCTTTGCATACACGTACACGTACATACATATGCTTGCACCTGTTCGTTCGTTCGTTGCTGAACTTCATTACGGCTTTAATTCCGGTGCTTTGTCGGTCGTCGCGATAACACGAATCGCGCCGCCGTTTTCACGCGAATGTGAATCGACATTTTTTTTTTTTCAAGGGCAGCCGACATTCCTCACGCTGATTCTTTATGAAAAGAATTAACCTAGATTATAAATTTATAAATATATAATAATAATAATAGATATATCTATTATATTATATTATATCAATATTATAATATTATAATAGATATATAATAATAAATTATTATAGATTATTACAAGTATATAACAATGTAGATACAGGTTACATAAACGCAAGTATATGAATGAATCGGGGAAATAATTTCTTTCGAGGCACAACCTGACTGTCCGAGTCGACTTACATACGTTAGTAACTCGGACTAGGTTAGGTTTACGAACGCGTTCTCCAAAATACGTTGGACCAACGATCGGTCCAACAGTGATTTCAATCTCTCGCGAGCCAAAATATATCCGGGTCAGCCGCTCTTAGAGAGCGAGTAGGTTAAAGCTTCTTGCTGTGTCACGAGGCCGTCTAGACAACATTAGGCGAACGCCGAAAGAGCCTGACCTGCCTACCCGTGTGTGGCGTGTACGCCAGTATATAACAGATGTACACATATCCTGGCATTGGTGATTTCCTCCCCCGATGAAACGAGCGGTGGCAATAAAATGCGGAGAGCTGGCGAGCAAGAGGGTGCTCTCCGTTACGATAGCGAAAGAAAGCGGCGGCGGTACGGCGGCGAGGGAATTATGGGAGAAGCCTAGCCTCCAGTAGAATGAACGACGCCGATTACAGCGGGGTTAGGTTTCGCTACGCGCAGGCGTCGTATCGATTTCTTCCTTTGCCTTTACCTTTGCCTTTGCTTTTGCCTTTGCCTTTACCTCTGGCCTCTGTTATATATGTGCGTATACGCGCAAAACGGTCAACCTTATCGCTTACCGATCGTTTCTTCTCCCCATCGAGAGAGAGAGAGAGCCGTTCAAGTTTTGTTCATTGCATTCTTTTTTTTTTTTTTTTATTTAAGAATTTGGAAACCTCGTCTGAGGTTTATTACAGCTACATCTGTAGAGTCAGTTAAACCAACAGAGAAAACGACAATGTAAGTTTTATACAGGGTGGTCACTGAAAGACTGAATGATATGAAACAAAAATAACTTTTGCAAACGCACGTTTTTTTTTTTAATTTTTTATTATTTTATTCGGAACCAAAATATAGTACCAAAGAGAAATATTGTAGAGGCAGTGTGCAAATGTCATTCTCTATTAGTCTAATTAGTCTATGTGTAGTATAAAGTTAGGTTAAGGCATGCAATACTAGACGTAAGAGAAAATAATAAGGGAAAACTTGACAACCAACGGGATTAAAACGGAAAACAAAATGTAAAGAATAATGTAAGGCACTGAAGTCTATTTCTAGGCTGAAAGGCTGAAATAAAGATTCATTCATTCATTCATATTATTTTATTTGGAGATGTAATTAATGGATTTTTTCAGTATTTTTTTTCTATAATCAACAGATGAACAAGTTGTGACTTTTTCAAACTCTGTAGTTTTTCAGTGGCCTCTGTATATTAAGGTTAGTCTCTAAGGAAAGTGTAGACATAATTTGTATTTGCTGAGATTCTTGATAAGTTTAAAATCCTTTTGGGGATCGTAGAGACTGCTTTTGCCACAGTGTATGGATCGAGTTTATGGCCACATTTACATCCAGAGTCGCAAGCAATATCGATACGGAACAAGGAAGCTTATTGCATCCGGTGTTGTTGTTGTTGTTGTTGTTGTTGTTCGAACAGTTAGCGGTCACGGACGAAATTAGAGCGTTAACGTCATGCATGTGTAAAGAATAGTACATAGAAGTCACACGGAAGGAGAAATACATATATAAAACAGACGCAAGAAATCCTTGGAACTTCGTGGTTCCTGGAAGAAACAAAATTGCAGTCTGTGGATAATGAACGACGCTCGGCAGTAAAGACCGATTGTAAACGATCAGTTCGACGCAACGAGTTGCATTTTATAATTGTATTATTCACGCGTGACACATTGCACGACTTGTAGGGAATTTTATTCTTGGAAACTGCGCATAGACGACTCGTCACAAACCTTACAGCTCCCAGCTGTCGAAAGATAGTCCGATCATCATCGCGAGGGATGCAACGAGCGTGATTCGACCGAGCTACGCGACCGTTTTAGTGCCAGGGGCTATTTAAAAAACCGCGATAGCACTTCCTTGACGTAACAAGCGACAAAACGCCAAGCAACGCAATAAAAGTGGGTGAAGTAAAAATTGTCT